GGCCTTATTGCCTGTGGCCTCTTTAAGGTTCCTGGCTCACCTTAAAGAGGCCACAGGCAATAAGACAAGGGTGGAGAAACAGACTGCTGTAAGGTCAGGAGGTAGGGAGGCAGAGCCCTATGGGAAAGGAGTGCAGGGGCAGGTCTGCTTCCGGAATGGGTGCTAGGGAAGGCTCCTGGAGGAGGCCTTCTCTGACCTGGGTGTCGAATGGTGTATAATATTTAGCAAGCACACAGTGTGACTGAGGTGAGTGTCACAGGTTAGGGACTCTGCAAAGGCATGTTCCTGGGGAAACTGAATGCTCTAGACTGTGACGTGGGAGCCTGTGGAGGGGAAGACGGGTGGGAACTCATGCTTTCTCTCTGCAGGACTCCAGGGCATAGCTGTGGATGGGCGGGGTCCCTGCTCTCTCGAGGAGTGCCTAGTTTTGAGTGAGGACATCTGTGACTGGTTCAGAGAGCCTATGTGGCTTTTTGGACTTAAGAATAATTTTATCAGGCTGGGGTTGTAGCTCAGTGGTAGAGCACTGCCTTGCATGCGTGAGGCCCTGGGTTTGGACCCCAGCACCACATAAAAAAAATAAATAAAAATAAAGATATTGTGTCCATCTACAACTAAAAAATATATAGAAAAAAGAATAATTTTATCTCTCTTAGAAATCAAAGCAGTCAAAAATGAATAGTCTTACCTGGGCGCAGTAGCACACACCTGTAATCCCAGTGGCTTGGGAGCCTGAGGTAGGAAGATCGAGAGTTCAAAGCCAGCCTCAGCAGCTTAGCGAGGCACTTAGCAACTGAGGGAGACCCTGTCTGTAATAAAATATAGAAAAGGCCTGGGGATGTGGCCCAGTGGTTAAGCACCACTGGATTCAATCCTTGGTACCAAAAAAGAAAGAAAAGAATAGTACTGAAAAATCCCAGGTGATGTTTAAAAAAAAAAGGAATACAAATCGTCTAGTCCCATTGTTCCTTCTTATTTCATTGTGTTTGAAGAACATTCCTATAAAAGAAAAATTCTGATCGAAGAAGCCCAAACCTGATGCTGGCAGGTCTCAGTGTCCTGCTCCTCAGAAATACAGAGCCATTTATTTATTTATTTATTTATTTAACGAGCATAAAAGATGCGGGGAATCTGAGGGCAGATACTGGAGATGAAGGTTTCCCCTCACTTTGAGATTGGTCCCCTGTTGTCGTATCACCTGGGGCTGGGGATGATGGTACATGAACTGGCACACACTCTCAAGGCCAGTTTGGCAGGCCTTAAAATTTTGTAGGTAAAAAATAGTAATACACCACGTGTCAAGAGGAACCCTCACTGAGCAGGAATCTCGGGCTTTTTATTGGCTCATCTCTAGTCAAACATGAAGCCAGACGGCTAAATCCAGTGGTGCTGGTTTCTAGTCCCAACTGAAAGCCTCGTTGAATGCTTTTAAAACAGATTTACCCTAAATAAAACCACCAGGCAATATCATTTTAAAAGCAGACCCCAAGTTGTTAGAAAATCATGACCCCTCACCCCGAGTTGTCAGATTGCTCTTTTTCAGGTTTGCTTGTGGGAGGAACCTTGGCTTGAGGGGAACGGTGGCCCTGCTTGATTGAGTGTGACCCAGCATGTGGACTTGGTAGCTTTTGCACAGAATGGTGTTTCTTTTGAAAAGTAGATTTTCACTGGTCGGTAGTAGTCAGAAGAGAAGTTTCTTAATTCTCTGAAGAGAGTTAAATTCTCCTTTTTTTGGTGACACAAAAATAGAATTGAAGCGTTTGGCCCAGTTTTCCTGAGTCCACACTGGACCCACATGGGCATCTGGCACCCTGTCCGTGAGCCGCGGTGCTGTTTTATTGCCTTTGCTTCCTGTGTCCCCCACACAAGTATGTGATCAGAATGAAGAGAACACAGGAGGGTTAATGAAGCTATTTAAAATTGATAAGTTAAGAAAAATATCTACACTAAAACTCTGCTCCATCAGGAAGTAAAGGTGGGAGAGAAAGAAGAGAAAAATGCAAGTGGGAGAGGGCGGCGGCAGCCCTGCGCTGTGGAGTGAGAACAGTGTCCAGAGAAGGAAGCGCTGGGGAGACGAGAAAGAGCACAGCTGGGGAAAGCCCAGCCGCGATTGACAAAGTCAGACGCAGTTAGAATTGTAGAATGGTTTGCTTCCTTTAGGGACCTGATTTTGTTTAACCCTGGACCTTCACTGCTCAGAGTCCTCTGTGGCTTTGTCTTGGACCTGTTCAGCTGTCCCAGGAGTGGCAGGTAGCCCAGTGGGTGGTGGGGATTGGTGCTGGCTTGCTGCAGATACCAGATGGCATCGTAGTTTTCATTAACACAGGCACTGCAGTATTTCTTTGTTCAGTGGTGACACTAATAAGTCAGAAGTTAAAATGGCAACAAGAAGGAACTTCTGGGTGTCATCCTGCAACATTTCTGAGAAAAGATGCATTGGACACTTCACTTAGGGGCTGAGAATCAGTACTTAAGTTTATACTCCAGGTCTGCGTGACAGGTCCTGGCCGTTCACTGTCTCTGTGTTCCCAGAGAGCTGCGTTCTTCCCGAGGCAGGCAAGACCCCCAGATGTGGAGTGTAGGCTGCATGCACAGGCTCCAGGGAGACCAGGATGCAGCCATTGGCCTAGGCCAGGGGAGCAGAGGACCTGGGGGCAGGCCGAGCACATATTCTGCCTTCTCAGGAAAGCAGAGCCCTGGGTTGGCATGCTTTATTTTTCTTGCTCTAAGACTTTTTTTTTTTTTTTCCTCTTGTACAGAAGTAAGCACTTTAAAGGAACTTTTCGGACTCGCCAGCAGTGGTAGGCATCTTCCATTCCTGGTTGGTGGGTTTGGTAGTGTGTGTGGGTTTAGTGTGTGTGGGTGGGAGAAGATGCTGAATGAATGCTTTTGCCTTTGGACCTTTCTGGATGCTCAGATGTCTTTTTATTTTTAGAGCATGATCTCTCAATGGCAAAATACAGCAGGCTCCCTAAAAAAAAGGAGAATGAAAAGGTAAGCTTACCTTACCTGTTATTTTTCCCTTCATTTACTTAAGCTGCTTCTGTACCTCATATTCTGAGTTTGTGGCAGTCGGGTGTCTAGAGACGTTACTTTTTTTCCTGTACGTGGACTTTTGAAATTATTCTGAATCTCATAAGTGGGCTTCTGCTTCTCTAGACTGACTTTTCAGCCTGATATTAAACACCAGCTTAGAACCACTGTAGATTACAATCACACAGTAGCTTTATCTCCCACTTGGTCCTTCGTGGGACTGGCTGACTCCTGTGCTAGGCGAGTGGGTTGAGCTCCCTGTGGCCCCTGCTTTTGAGGTGTTTTGCTTTTTACTTCCACTAGATGATTTCCTTGGGCTAAATTATTTCTTTGGAACAGGATCTTATGAGTGAACCAAAACGTCTGTGGCTTCTGATGCCTATCGCCAGTGGCTTTCCTGCAGGGTTGCAGTGTGGGTGCTGCTACCTGCAGGGTGCCGGCTTTGCCTCCTGTAGCCCCACGAGCACTGAGATGCTCTTACCTGTGTATTTTTTTCTTTTTTATTGTAGATGAACACAATATCTTTGTTTGTTTGTTTGTTGTTTATTTATTTATTTATTTTTATGTGGTGCTGAGGATCAAACCCAGTGCCTCACCCAAGCAAGGCAAGCGCTCTGCCACTGAGCCCCCGCCCCAGCCCTTACCTGGGTATTTTTAATTGGGAATTTTAAATTGAGGTGAAGTTTACCTAAGTGTTACTGTATTTGGCACAAAAATGGATAAGCAAACGTTCTTAAGTTGCATGCTCTTACAGAACGGTCACACCTGGAAGTTTTCCCTTCACCTTTCAACCAGGTAAAGACTGAAGTTGTGAAGGAGGTGGCAGCTGCACGGCGGAAGCAGCACCTGGCGTCCCTCCAGTACTACTCCGCCCTCAATGCGCTACAGTACCGGAAGCAGATGGCCATGATGGAGCCCATGATAGGCTTCGCCCATGGACAGGTAGGGGAGCCCTCTCACCTGGGGGAGAAACCTGAGAACATTTAGAAGAAACCAAACCTCGTCAGAGCAGGAAACAGATGCACAGCCTCCCTGGAAACTTCCTGGATTCACACTGTGGAGTCCTTCCAGCTGGGCAGGCCATCCTCAGCTGGACTTGTGAGGCCATATGTTCAGGAAATGATGGCCTGGATCCTGAGCTTCCCTGGGGGAGGATCCTGCATGGCCCTTTGTCTGATCCACCCAAAAGCCAGGCCTGGTCCAGTGTTCCTAGAATTAGCTCACAGTCGGTCCAGATGTTTGGCTTAGAATCCAAAATTGTGACGTTCCCTTACTGCTGTGTGCAGTCGGGTGCCCCCTGGCTGGGCAATGCTCAGCTGACTCATTCCCAAGGTTGCTGCTGAGGCCTTCACCTTCTGGGGCGTAGGCAAGAGTTGCCAGGGCTTTATGGAGTATTCTGTAGAGAATTTATTTGGCTTCTTCCCTCTTATTGACTGATCTACTGAATATTATTTGTCTTAAGGGAGGCTCCACTTAAGGAGGGAGCCCTAATTGTTATGGCATGAACAGGAGTGGCAGGGACCAGCAGGAGTGTGTCAGGCTGGTGTCCTCCCCGCCCTATTTAACCCCATAGTGTTGACTCTGACATTTCCCTTTGGCACGTGAGACATGCACCCAGGAATCTTCTCTCATCAGACAGTCTAGGAGCAGGAAGGGTGTGAGGAAGCCAGGAATTGCTTCAAATAAAGTCACTGACTTGAAGAAAAAGTGAACACACGAGCATCTTTTACTGTTATGTAGCACATTTGAAAAATTCACGAATTTCAAAAGAAACAGAATTAGCTTCATTCGGGGAAAAGGGAAAGAGGGGAGAACCTAAGCATCGGAGCCCAGCTGCCAGGCTCACTGTGCTGGTTAGGAGTTGGAGTGCCCTGAGGTCAGCTTCTGTCATCAGAGGTGATGTTTAAGTAGATCAGTGTAACCTTTCTGTGTCATCTGCATAAAGCAGAATAAACCCCCAAATAAGCACTGTCCAGCCGAGGGCTCCAGCCCCTGGCAACCCCTTGGGAGCTTGGCAGCTTCCATGGCATTTGAGATGGGCACTCTGCTGCCCTCCTTCCTCCTTTGATTAGGTGTTGCACCCCATGAGTGGACTCGGCTGGCAGGGGCTGCACCATTCTCCAAGCTGGGCCTTTTAAGCAAGTGCTGCTGCCCACAGGGAGAGGAGACCAGAGCACCTTCACACAGATGCAGCCCGAGGCCCAGGAGGACAGAGCAGCCAGAGCTCCCCATCACTGCTGGGTGGCAGGAGCATCATTTTGAGGACTGAGGATAGTGCGTCTAGTTTTTCATGTGAGGAGTATCTAGATTTCAAGACACTAGACCAAGTCAGTCCCCTCCGCTACAGACTTTTAAAATCCTAATGCAAACTCTAGTCCCTCCCTTTGTTTGTCGCCCAGCACGTGAGTCTGATGACTCAGAAGCACTTCTCCTTCTGCCCTATCAGCCTTCAGAAGCCTGTTTATGGAGCCCCACCCTTGTTGGTCATGGCTGGTGGCTGTGACCATTGCTGGCCCATCCGGGGGAGATCCAAATCAGCCTTCTTGGCACCACTTACTTTTGTGTAGGTGCCTTGACTCCATTTCTGCCTTCTCTAGTCCTTGTTAAACAGGCTTGTTTAATATTCATGATTCAGCCCTGGTGCAAACTGAGGCTTTGTAGTGTGTGAACAGGTTTTTGAGCACATAAAGATGCAGGCTAGTGTAGAATCGCCAGGGAAAATGCTGGGTAATGCCGCTGGAGAAGGCAGTGTCTTTCCTTCCATTTGTCTGATTTTTGTAGGGCTTATGTGAGCCCCTGCCCTGGGGCGCCTACAGAGCAGAAGAGCTGAGCCTTGGACTCTAAAAACTCCAGAGGGAGGTCAGGCAGGGGAGGGAGGAGGAGCTCCCAAGATGTTGTGCCCTTTAGGGATGCCGAATGCTCATTTGACAGATGCATGATATTAACTGACGAGTATCGTTTCGGTATTTGACATTACAGTGATTGAAGCAGCATTACAGTGTTGATCTCTGTATGATTCAAAGATCACGGTGCCAGAACATCCCCTGTAGGTATCATTTGGCATTAGGGTAATTGTGGTCATCATCTGATTTTACCCTGTGGTAACTAAGAAATGGGTATGAGCTTTCCCAGAACAGGAGAGAATGTCAAAACCCTGCTGATAGCACCTGTTGGCCTGCTCGGGGTGAGAGGTCGATTTCTGTGCCCATCACCCAGGGCAAGGTGGGATTCCAGATCAGATAGATAAGTAGGGAGACACACAAGAGTGTGTCCAGGCTGCATGTTTCTTCTTTTTTTTGTGACACAGGCTTGCAGCCGTTACATCCCAGCACGTAGAGTGGAGCAGCTTATCCATAAAGTCCTGAGTTTTTAAAGCCATGGTCATAAGAATGAAAAGTTGAGCCTTTCAGGGTGGGGGGTTGCAGATGTCTGTAACACCCAGGGGTGTTCTTCTCCCTCTCTTCCTGTATCCTGCCCTGCAGGCATCTCAGGGCACCCAGACCTCCTGGGAAGGCAGTATTTTACAAGAGTCGCAGGAAACTTCACAGGAAGGAAGAACTCCTCCATTGGTTCCAAAAGCCACAACTGCAGTTTCACATCCTGCACTGACTGCAGGTCTCCTAGAGGCCACTGTCCCCTGGGCAGGGAAAGCGTTCACTACAGAGCCCAAGGGACCTCTGCTGAGCAGCTGCACTATGCCAGGACCCCCAACATCCTTTATGTGTATAATCCCCTCTAACTTCCTGTCACGGTTGGAAGAGGCCTTTAAAGCCTTCCACCCAGTTTTCCCTCTGCAGCGTCTCAACCAAGCTGTCATCCATCTGCCCCTCTATCTGGCCTATGTTCACAGCTGCACAGGGCTCAGTGACCAGGCTCTGTCACACCGTGGCCTTCAAGGCCAGGCGAACATCTCATGCTGTACAAGAGCAAGAAGTGCTTTTCAGGTTCTTGCTGGGCTGATAGCATCTGTCACATGTCACACACCCATTTGGGGCTAGAGATGGTGAATGAGACCTCAGGAAACTCACTACTTAGGATTCATATTAAAAAACCACTGGTGGTGATTTAAAACTTATCAGTCATGATTATTGAGATACGTGGTACATACCAGGCATTATCTTATGTCATTCCTGATGTTTAACAGCCTTTCAGCAAAGATGACTAGGTTCCACTTTTCCCCCATTTTACAAAGCCCTTGGGACTTTGGGAGTCACGTCAGGCTGAGGCTCCGTTGAGACGCTGTAAGAACTGCAGTGAGGGAGGGCGCGGCCCAGGTCTTCTGTCCCCATGCCGCTGGTCATTACATTAAGGGCACTCACCCATCCCCTTCGGTAGGAGATTCTCAACATGTCATAATTGTATCTTTCAGATTAACTTTTTTAAGAAGGGAGCAGAGATGTTTTCCAAAAGCATGGACAGCTTTCTATCCTCTGTTGCAGACATGGTTCAGAGGTAATGCCGCTCACTGGTTTGGATCTTGGTGTGTTTCGCTGTCTCCGCTGAATAGGAGTCTGGGGGTGAGCTCTGACTGTGAGCGCCTGTGCAGGCGACACGCATGGCAGAATAGGACGGAGCTGGTTTCTGCCCTTGTGGCCTTGTGTGACCTTACAGACCCTGCTGCCTCCTGTTAGGGTCCCTGTGTTAATACCAAGTTTCATCTGTTATAAACCCAAATCTAGTTTAAATTGTTTTTTCCCCCCTCTGAGCTAATGGGATTAGCAGACAGAAGTGCTGGAATTTTGGGGGAATCTCTGACCATTACATTAATTTATGATAGGCAAGCTGCTAAGCTTCTTTTGAGTTACTTTAAAGAAAAGGTAGCTCAGCCATGCAAACACTTATTATTTTTTTCTAATTACTCTATTCAGGAGGTCAGCCCACACTTCATGATGGCCCAGCTGCTATCCCTCCTGCCCCTCCCTCAGCCTCTTGACATCCTGGAGCTCTGGGGCAGCCCACGGGCCCTGGCACATCAGGCTTGTTTCACCCTGAGCAGCAAGGACCTGTCATGACTTCTGAGGTCTAGAAATACATCTGTGGGCTCACACGTGCACGTGTGTGTGTGGTTGAAAAATACATAAAATAGAAATAATATGGAATTTTATTTTATGTGGAAAAGGATAAAGTTGCTCATTTTCTGAAGATATTACATTTCAAAATAGCTCGTGAAGGCCAAGCAGTGGAACGTTTTTAGGCAGAAGTCTACTTCAAAGGCTCTAAGAATAAAGCATGCACCAGAAGGGCCAGGGCCAAGCCCTGGAGCTGGGGGAGGTGGTGTGCCTCTGCTGCTGCTCAGGTCCCTGTGCTGGGTGCCCGAGAGCTGGTCACAGTGAGCAAAGAGACTGTATTTATAATTATGTGAGAAAGCAATCTGTGAGCTCTGATTTCAGTCTCTCACCCTTGAATTTGATGGTTAGCCTGGGAACATGAGGAGGGAGAGGGAGCCTGCTGAACGTCACGTCCCACAGACCGCCCCCTTAGCCTCGGTCTCACCCCGGCTTTAACTCTCATAGCCCTGTGGCTTTCTATGTCTCTGGAGAACCACCCACATTTCAAACTGCTTAGGCCCTGAGTCATTTTTGCTGACGGATGGCAGGCTGTTTATGCCCATGTCATCGAGACGCCATGGTGTCCTCTCTGCAGATCCCAGAGCCTGTCTTTCCCTCTTGTCTGCCTTTCCATGAACCTTTATGAGAGCACTAATGTGTGGGCCTCCTTCCCAGTTGGACTGTGAACTGGGCATTAGCACAGAGCACCACTGACTACATGGCCTGGTCCCTGCATGCCATCCCTCTGCTGCCTGATAAGGTGTGCTTCACTACAGGCTAAAGGCAGCCCACACATTGGATCCTCCTGGTTCAACTAGCTAAAGCCTTTGGTCCAGAGAATTCTAATTGTACTCTCAGTTTAGAAACAGTGCATCCACTTCTCTCCAGATCACGAGGAAGCGGTGGCCTTGCCATCGTGTCACCATGATGAGCAGCCAGCCCAGCTGAGGGGCCTCAGGGCGGTGTCTAGTGGTGCCACTAACAATTTACCGTCTTCAGGAGAGATGGCTTCCCCTGGTGTTCTCCTGTTCTTAGAGCCCAACTGGAACCCAAAGAGGGCAGCATCGTTTCCAGCCACCCAACAGTCCTGGGCTTTTTGAAGCCCTGAATCCCACAGTGATATTTTATTACCTTTTTTCTTGGATCCTTCATGTGTGTGTGGAAACATACTTTTCTAAAAAAAAAAAAATCTTTGAAGAGGACAAAAGCAGTTACTTTTCCACTCTGTTCCTTTGGATCACGAAGGCTTGGATTTGATCAGCGTTTTTGAGCCTAAGTCTGTCTGAGTAGGGGAAGATAGGGAAGGACAGTTACTAAGAATTTCCTACAACTGTATGCAAGATATCACATTAGGAGGCTGGGGTTGTGGCTCAGTGGTAGAGAGCTTGCCTAGCACACATGAGGTACTGGGTTCAATCCTCAGCACCACATAAAAATAAATAAACAAAAAGGTATTGTGTCCAGCTACAACTAAAAATATTTTTTTAAAAAAGATCACATTTTAGTGCACATTAGTGAGTATATTTCGGGGAGATGAACCTTATCTTTCATCAGATCCCTCAAGAGATTTCTCATCTACTAAAGCTAAAGAACAAGCCAGGTGCTGTGGTGCACACCTATAGGCCCAGGTACTTGGAGGCTGAGGCAGGAGGAGTGAAGTTTGAGGCCAACCTTGGGAACTTTGCAAGAGCCTGTTTCAAAAATTTAAGTGTTGGAGATGTGGCTCAGTGGTAGAATGCTTGCCTACCGTGTGTGGGCCCTGGGTTCAATCCCCAGTAATACAAAATAACAATAATAAAGCTGAAGAACGTCAGCAGGTCTGTCTACTCTTGGATGCCTCCTTCTGTGTCCTGTCCTGCTCCATTTTTCTGTATCATTCCATTTTTCTCAGCCTTGGCAGTGACTGGCAATTTAAGCCAGCGAGGTTTGTTCTCCAGTGACCTAAGGTCTCCACTGGTGGAGTTCCTAGTCATCCCATTCAGATGTCAGAAATTAACCTAGATGGATTGTTTGCATCAAGCTGTGTTAAACAGAAGATGGAGTGTAGAAGCCTAGAGTTACCTATGGAAGAGAGAAAATCTTGAGGTGCTCATTTTGAGAAACACTGGATTCCCTAGGTCCCTTGTTCCTTCTGATTTAAACAGTTATAATTCTGTCCTTTCTTCACTCTGGTGGAATGGTGGAACACCTCCTTTGGCATTTGCTTTCCCAAATAAGACCATGTTGGGCAGATGGTGTCCAGTCATCCTTTGTGGGTGGAAGGGCAGCTGCTGTTTCAAGCCAAAGCTTCTAGGTTTTCCACACCAGCCCCTCCCACATACGGAAGCTGGGGCTGCTACATCAGAGCCCAGGCATGGTCCTGCTTATTCCTCTCTGGGCAGCCCTTGGCTAGCTCACCGTGCAATCTCAGGGCAGTTGGTGGATGTCATAAAAGGAAAAGTGTGGTTCTGGGCTTTGTTGTCCCTGGGACACTCCCTGGTCATTTTCTTGTGACCTATCTTCACCACCCCTGCCTCACACCAAGCCCAGGGGAGGGTGACTGCTCCCATTCTTTCGTCCGTGGGACTTTCACAGGCTGCCTGCATGTGCAGCCCAGGAGGATAGGCTTGCCAAAGCTCCCCCAGAATCTGACCACCATTCTGAGAATGGTGCTCTTCTCCAGCAATAAAACTGTTGATCTGGGTTCAAGCATAGTTTAGTGGTGTTCCTTGTGGTGGGGTGGTGTTTTGGTAGAGGGTGTTGTGTGTTTGGGGGGATTTTTTGTTTTGTTTTTTTTCCATGGTGCTGGGGATAGAACCAGGGCCTCACTCATGCTAGGCAGGTGCTCTACCACTGAAACCTCCCCGTCCCTTCTCGTGCGGTTCTGAGATGGTGTCTGAACACTGTGATCTGTAGCTCAGGGGCCTAAGTTGGAGGGTGGAGTGCTGTGGCTTCAAGGCAGGCTGGTGACTTCATGTGTAGATAGGAAGCTTTTGGGTGGGTGAGGGCCCTGCTACCCGCTTCTTATACTGCTGAGTTGGCCGGCAGCTTCTGACTGACCTGCCACCTTCTGTCTTAAGCATTGAGGTGGAACTGGAAGCTGAAGCAGAAAAGACACGGATATCTCAGCAAGAATTGCTTTCTGTCGATGAATCTGTCTACACGCCAGACTTCGATGTGGCTGCACCCCAGGTCAACAGGAACCTCATCCAGAAGGCCGGTTACCTTAACCTTAGAAAGTGAGAATGCCAGTGGTTGCCTCTTTCTGAACTCTTCTCCCTAGGAAGTGGCTGTAAAGCAGTCTGTGGTGCCCACTGAGGCCTGAGGGTGGGGTGGGTGCACGGGAAGAGCTCGCACACAGCCCTGCTCCTACTGGAGCGCAGGACACTTTGGGGCCCAGGTCCCAAACTGCATGCAGAAATAGGGCTGGAAACAGCCTGTATGAGTGAGATCTCAGTGCCATGGACTCAGGAAGAGGAGGCCACCCTCGTCTCTGGCCACCGTGGCCATTTGTAACTGCTGTATACTCATTCTGGATCATTGAGAGTTAGTGTCCCCTGGCCCTCTGCCACCCAGTAGGTGAGCATTGTGTTAGAGACCCATGTGGAGGTGAAGCTTTGGGTAAATCACATTCATTCAGATTAAGTCATACATTTGACACTTGGGTCCTTAAATTTACCATTCTGAATGAAAGGGATGATCAAGGTTAGCTGCTCCCAAGAGCAGAGAGAGGATGATGTCAGTGTATGTGAGGATCGGACACTGGCATCAGACACCCTGGCCAGAAGGAGCCATGATCCCTTCCTGACGATGGCACCTACTTTACACAGTTGTTGCAAGGATTGAGCGAGGTCATTCTTAGCAGGTAGGAGCCCTCAGTTATTAGCTGTGTCTTGCACATAGTGGCAGCTCAGTAAATCCAGCAAATTACTCAGCATTCTGCAAGTGGGGGTATCTACAGAGGAAATGCCACCTCTTCAGGTACAGCCCCTCTATGAAGATCACAAGCTATGTGTCCCCATTCAATCTGTAGGGATGAAAGTCGTGATGTTATTTGCCAAGAAAGCATTTTCCTGTTGTAAGCATCTCACAAAATAACCTCTAGTTAGAGCAGAACCCAAGCTGGGAAGAGCCCCGCCCCCATCGTGGGCTGTGGGCTGAGACCCTAGTGACTCTAACTAGGTTCAGAGCTCCATGTCCTAGAGGAAAGATCCCCGGGATTTCAGGTTCTTAATTAGGAGACTGCTTCTAGTTGTAGGCAGCAGCTTTGGAAGCTGCGGCCGCGCTGGGGGAGCGGGTGCACGCCCTGCCGAGGATCTGGAGTTGGCACTGGAGCCCAGTCTCCTAGGTCACTCAGGCCAAACTGATCTCTCCTGTCACTCTTTTTCAAAGAGGTTTTGCTTTACTATAGGGAAACAGTTTCCACAGTGTCACCAGTACCTTTAGACAGGCAGCACCGCTGGAGATGCTACTCGGGCTTCCCAGTGCTAATGGCTTTTTCAATACCACCCATACAGCAAGACGGGGCTGGTCACCACCACCTGGGAGAGACTTTACTTCTTCACCCAAGGCGGGAATCTCATGTGTCAGCCCAGGGGAGCTGTGGCTGGAGGTCTGATCCAGGACCTGGACAACTGCTCGGTGATGGCGGTGGATTGCGAAGACCGACGATACTGCTTCCAGATCACCACTCCCAGCGGAAAACCGTAGGCCAGCGGGTGCTATCTGGGAGGACAAGTGTAGTGACTCCGCCCCTGCTGATGGCTGCCGAGCTCAGTCCTGTGGGCCATGCTCCTTGCGAGTCCCCATCTAGGTCATGCTGACTTTTGGGAGAATGGTTTATGTTCTCTTTAAATAAGCACACGTGACCTATATATATGGGATCCAAACTGCTTCTTTTAGGGAGACCAGAGAGGACCTATGTGTGTCTTCATAGAGATGACCTACTTGTGTAAGAGCAACAGAGGTAATTCTTGTCAGCGTAGGTTCTGAGAGAAGGTGGTGGCCACTCCTGGCCTATCCCTGAACAGGTATCTGTGCCTGTGCAGTGGTGGTGCAGGCAGAGGGGAGGTGGGAAGGCTGCCTAGGAGTCCATGTTCCCAGCCGAAATGGGAGATGTGAGCAGTGTGTTCAGCCATAGCAGGATCATTTGTTAGCATGCTGTCCCACATACCCTGGGGACCCTGGGCCCAGCAGAGGTCATGCTTTAAACATCGGCAGCCTGGGCTGGGGTTGTGGCTCAGTGGTAGAGCGCTCACCTAGTGCGTGCGAGGCCCTGGGTTTCATCCTCAGCACCACGTAAAAATAAATAAAGCAAAGGTATTGTATCAACTACAACTAAAAAAAAAAAAATCACCGGCAGCCTGTGGCCACTCACAGTAGAGCCCATTCCAGCAGATCCTCTCCCACTTCTACAGTGGTTTTCACTGTGCTGAGGAGCTCACAGCCACATGTGTGCTCCTGCGGGCATGGAAGCAGAAGGGGGGTGGCGTGGATGGCTCTCCTCCCAGATTAGCCGAGCAGTTTTAGACATGATCTTCTTTCTGGCAGTGAGCTAGATGATCCTGCATTCTAGTCATAGTCCCCTGAGTTACTTGCCTGCTCTGGGCCTCTGTCCTCTCAAGTGTGAAGTAAGGATAAGACCCATTCCCCCATCTGCCACAGACATGAGGAACAAAGAAACAAGCAGAGGCAGAGGCCCTTTTTTAAAGAGTTGAAGCCCTCGTGAAGGTAGGGCAGTACTGTCATTGTACTCCCTGGCCTTTCAGTTCTCAGTGCCAGGTCCTTTGGGCATAGGTGGAGGAGTGGCCAGGCATATAGAGAAGGGTCAACAGAGATGGTCCTTGCTGTGGGAGCCCAGACTTAGGTGGAAAGATCCGAGTCCCCCTCACTTTATAGATGAGGAAGCCTAGGCCCAGAGAAAGCAGGTGTTTATCCAAGACCGGGTGAATTGTCACCAGAGGCAGACCTAGCCCACCCCCCCCACCCCCGGTGTGGAGTTCAGCTGGCTTAGCGTCCTCCTCAGGTAGCCTGAGATAGGGAAGCACTGATGTAGATGCATTTTCTTTCAGGGGAATCATCCTCCAGGCAGAGAGCAGAAAAGAAAATGAAGAGGTAAAGCTTTGACTGTTGGCCTTTTTCCTAGCGTGGTGGGTGGCTTTTGGATTGACATTCTTTTTACTGTCTTCTGCAGTGGATATGTGCAATAAACAACATCTCCAGACAGATCTACCTGACCGACAACCCAGAGGTAATTAGCATCTGCCTGCAGCTCAGCTGAAAGGTAGGCGCCCCCTCCTGGACTGAGCATGTCTCCTGTGGCTTTAGGCAGTCGCCATCAAGTTGAATCAGAAGGCTCTCCAGGCTGTGACTCCATTTACAAGTTTTGGAAAAAAACAAGAAAGCTCCTGCCTCAGGTAACTAAAGGACAAAAGAAAACTAGCTGTTGTGGAGCCAAACCATGTACAAGGAATTTGACACGAGATGTTAGCTAATCCTCAGCCCCCTCCAACCCCCACCACCACCCCAGGGGTGCAGTTAGCCCTGTTCAGTGGAACCAGTGACTGGCTGGGAAAGGTTAGGTATCCTGCCCATGTTCACAGGTGGAGCCAGGATTCAAACCTATCTGATTTCAACACCCCTGTCCATTTCCACTGGACCACACTGCTGCAGTTTGAGTAAATATTTGTGTCAAGGTCCTGTCAGTTTGCCCACATTTTCTATTAGCATCAGCAGTACCATAACCAGAACTAGTTTTGTTAAGAAAATCATCTTGTTGTGTCTGGGTTACTCCCCAGACGTTTTCTTTATGTGTAGTGATATTTCACAGGTACATTTTTAAACATTTCTAGATTTTTTGTGATGGTTTAATACCATTACATCATTTATTATTGCCATTAGCCATTGAATATTTAGGTTCTCTCCTTCCATTGTTTGCTGCTGTTATCAAGGTGAACATTTTCTTACATAACAGCTTTTCTCTTGAATACCATTTTAGGATTGACTTTAGGAAATCCAACCTTTTGTCTTCATGAGAATCTCTACATGGCAAACTAGGTAGTAGAGGGCTGGATTATTTAGCATGCTGGTGAGAGCGTGGCATCAAAGGGCAATTAAAATCCTGACTGCACGGTGTCTTTTAGACACTCTCTAAAGCAGCAGAAGCCCAGTGGTTACGTACCTTCCTAAGTTCACACTCCTGGCATTGGGTATGTGAAGAGCGGTACCAGGTAAGGCCAGAAAATAGGTCTGAGCTTGACAGTGAAAGATATGTCCTGCTCAGAAGTGACAGGCAGTGGAGCAAAACTGAATGTTTTAAGAAAAGGGTGACAATCAGAACCAGGTTTAGAAAGACCGTTCTGCAGCATTACGTAGGATAAACTGGGCAGGAGGTGGTAAGGAAAGTGAGACCCAGCTGGTGGTAGTACTGGCATCAAGCAAAACATGGACCCTTCACAGCAGTGACAGGAATGATAAAGAGGCGACAAGTCTGAGGAAGACTTGGGTGCTTTAAGGCAGGCCTTAGTGGATTCCAGCAGCAGTGTAGTGTGCTCACGAGGTGCAGCTCTAGGGAAAGCGCCATGTGGAAGTGAGTGAGTAAAGATCTAGGAGGTGCAGGTGAGCCCTTCAGCCTTCTGTTCCTAAAGCCACGACATCAGTGGCCGAAGAAGAGAGGTACCTGTAGAGCCTGATGTCCCTGAGTGAGCCAGTCAGCTGCTGGACCTTCTCTACTTCATTTGGTGACCTGAGAAACCACATGACCTCCACAGCCCCTCCAGCTCTAAGGTGCCATCTTCCTAGAGTGCTGATGTGTAATTCAGTGTCAGTATTAGAAGGTGTGATTTTTTTCTGGAAAGAAACTTGCAGCTCATTTTAATTATTCAGTAACTGATTTTTCTCCTAGAATAAGTAAGTCACATTCTTAGAAAGGACTCTACAGAAGGGACACAGAAGAGTCCCTTGGGGGAAAGTGGACGACTTGGGGAGTCATGGAGGGCTGGGAGGGCAAAGATGGAGAGGCAGAACCAGGCAGTCCTTGGGAATGGTGGCTTAGACCAGGACCATGGCAGAGATGAAAAGGACATGAATTTGGATTTATTTTATAGGTAAGCCAGCCAGTTGACTTAACCCAAACATTAAAGGGGTGACAAATGTGGCTACCAGATGGCTCCAGAGCTGTGAGGGGAGGGAGCCTCTCTTAGAATAGCTCATTAAGAATAAAGAAATGTTTTGATGACAATAGAGGAAAGCAGCAAAGAAAATGTTTTCTTGGGAATAAACTGCCGTTTACTTCTAAACAAATCTACATGAAATTCCCTCACTCTGCAGTTATTACATACCTGCTTCAACAAATATTGTGTGCCCAGGCCTGAACTAGGTAAACGTACAGAATACTGGGAAAAGACAGACAAAAGGCAAACCTACACTGTTAAAATGGGGGAAAGAACTGTGATATTAATGACCAAGGTGCTGTCATGGACAGTGTAGAGATGGCCTGTGCAGGGCCTGTCTGTGGAGGTGTTCAAATTGACAAATACAAGATGAGAAGTCACTGTTCTTGCAGCCAGCCAGAGGTGATGCATTCCTGACAACAGGTGTGATGAAGCAGGAAAGAGCTTAGCACATCTGAGAAACGGTTAGGCAAAGGAGATCATGGAGCAAGATGAGGCTGACCAGAAGGAAGCCACGCTCAGGATCTTGGGAACTCATGGAGGGAGGAGGGCAGACAAAGATGGTGAGGCAGAACCAGGCAGTCCTTGGGAGTGGTGGCTAGACCAGGACCATGGCAGACATGAAAAGGACATGGATTTGATTTATTTTGTAGGTAAGTCATGTGGGGACATGTGATGGATGAGATATGGAGTAGAAGGAAAAGGACAGGCAAAGGACAACCTTTGTGTCTAGTGGCAGCAGACACAAAGAGGAGTTCTGTTTGGGTCAAGTTAGGTTTAAGAGGCTTTCAAGTCTTCCCAGTCAAGCATTTGACCAAGGATTCTGGCTAGAATGCAAGTCTGAGCAGGGTATGAGCCAAAGCATGAGACGGTAGTGGAAGAGATTGTGTGAGGCGAGCAGGTAGAGAGAGGAGTGGAGGCTCTGAGAGAATCCTGAAGAACTCCAACATCTGGAGTAGAGAAGTACCTCCAGAAAACCCATAAATGTGGCACAGCAGAACCTGGATGAGAATGGCTTCAGAGAGGAGAAGCCATGTCCATTAGAGGTCAATTAGGATGAGACTACAAAGTGTCCATCAGAACTGGAGATCCCAGGTGAAACTTGACGTGTTACTCTGTTCAGAGTCCTCAGTGGCTTCCTGTACTGGAGAGTCAAGTTCTGATCCAGCCCCAAAAAACGTTAGCATTAAGGTCTTCAGTAACCTGGTCCCACCCTCACTTGATTGGGCTATAGCCCACTTGACCCTCTGGGGAGCCAAAGTCTTGGACTTTCTCCCTTTAAACTTCTACTCACACCACTCTCTTATGCTTACTACTTATTAAATCATAGGTCCTTCATAACAACAGGATCAAAGAGCAGCTGTGATTCTACCACTGAGATTACTGAGGCAGCAAGGGGAGCTCCACCACTCGTAACCTAACTCACAGGTTGTCTAGGAGCCTCAATTTCTTTTTCTGTTACCAATGGAGTTTAAAAGGTCTCCAAGGTTCTCTTGCAGTGGCCATCTCCAAGCCTATGTAGTCCAACACATTCCATTCAGTCATTGACCATCTGTCAAATGATTCTTGTAGCTTCACACAGACATTTCTGTTCATTTGATGTTTTTATAACAAAAAGTTGTTATAAAAACATCAAATGAACAGAAAGATAATTGAGGGCTTTGTATGATCCTGACAATTAAGTAAAAATATTGATATTCTGTGCCCCTCAAAGGAGTTTACACTCTAGCTAAGGAGAAAAGATTTTTCAATGGTGAAATTAAATTGTAGTATTCTGACACTAGAAGACATATGTTGGTACATGATTAATCACTATGCAAATGACACGCTGTTTTTATAGGGTCCCCTCAGAAGCAGTGGTGGGGTTTGTGGCAGTGGGGCGGGAATATCACAGTGTTAAGCTCAGGGGTACCAGACTGGCTCTGTGACTTTGAAGACTCAGGAGCTAAAGACTTACAGGCTGGTGTGTGGGGGAGAGCTGGCTAATTGGTTGTTCCCTGAACACTTAGTAGGACACATGCAGTGAGGGCAGGCCTTGGGACAAAAATAGGGGGAGCACAGGGTTTTCATCATCAGGCACCCCACATCCCAGCTGGAGGCAGCTGCAAGGTGCAGCACGTGGAGGTGTGGCTCTAGAGGAAGTCATCACGGGAAGGGGACAGGGTTCCAGGTAATCAGAACCAGACTGATCAAATGCCAAGACACTGGTTCTTGTAGCTAACACTTTTTGAGTTCCTACTAACAGTCCCTACTTTTAAATGATAATATGACTTTGCTACAGCCCCACCCTCAAAAACCTGTCCAAAGGAAGAGATACGTGATATAACAGGTTGTAGGGGACACGGCTCAGAATGTTGTGGGGCGATCTGAAGGTTTTTAGCCAGATGTGATTGGAGTGAGGGACTGAAATCTCCCTTGTATTTTTATTTTTAAAAGTCATTTGATTCCCTGTCCCCCATTTTATACTTCAGCCAGAACTTGAAAAATTCAGAAACAGAAAATGACAAGATTGTTCCCAAAGCAACAGTCAGTATTCCTGAAGCAGAAGAACTGATCGCACCTGGGACGCCTATTCAGTTTGATATTGTACTTCCTGCCACAGAATTCCTCGATCAGAACAGAGGGAGCAGGTATGGGCTAAGGGAAGATATCTCTGGGAGAAAGTAGATTTGATATCTTGTGTTCCTTCCACCATCACCACCAAAGGTCACTGCTCATTCTGACTTAGAATTCAGTGTATTCAGTGTCCTTTCAGCAGCAGCTGTCATGATTGTTGACCTTGGCTATTCCCCTAGGCGGATCAACCCTTTTGGTGAAACTGAAGATGAGTCATTTCCGGAAGCAGAAGGTAAGTGGCAAGTTTGGTGTGCTTACTCTTTCCCCTGCAGAAAATGATCAGGGTCATTGAAATAAGATGTGAAATGTCCTAAGAGAACTCTGGTTTCGAATATGAACTGAAATTATGCGCCACCCCATACTGTCTTTGGGGCTCCTCCAGAGAAATAGGTTGTGCCTAAAGTCTGGTGCTACTTGTATCTGGCTGTCTTTGTACACTGTGTGTCAACAATCCAAGGAAAAAAATCTTTCAATGGTGGAATGAGATGGACATTATTACCCTAGGTACATGTATGACTGCACATGTGGTACGACACTACATCATTACACCTAGAGAAATGAAAAGTTGTGCTGCAACTGTCTACAATGAATCAAAATGCATATAAACCTAATTAAATAAATAAATTAAAAAATCTTTCAAATTTGTCTATACAAAAAAAGAAATTAGGAGCCAGGAATGGTTGCACACACCTGTAATCCCAGTGGCTCGGGAGGCTGAGGCAGGAGAAGCATGAGTTCAAAGCCAGCCTTAGCAAATTAGCAAAGACCTAAGCAACTTAGTGAGAACCTGTCTCTAAATAAAATATAAAGAAGAGCTGGGATGTGGCTCAGTGATTAAGTACCCCTGGTACCCCCACAAAAGTTACTATTAGAGTAACCATTTATAGTTTCCTATTAATTTTTAAACCCTTAAGTTATTTTTAGGGACAGAGGGAAAAAAAGAGGCCCTTCAGTTTAAAATAATGGGTGCATGAATTATTGTTCCTACAGAAAAAGTGAACTTTAAAAAAACATTATCTTTCAGTTGTGGTTGCCATTATCCAGTTTTGTCAGATTATATGCCAATATCTAGAAGCTAATGTTGGAAATTCTTTAGGATTAATAAGTTATTTTGGTTTATAATCATTGTCTCGGTTATAAATATGATGTATGAGCTGAGTGAGACCCAACATCAGGTCTCTCTTACCACAAATAAAGCTGCCTCTATAAGAAGCCCAAATAATTAATGAGTTTTCTAGGATCTAGTGGAAATGCTCTTGAGATTTAGTTCTAGAAGGACATTCACCTGGCACTTCCATCTCATAAACGGAGAAAAAGAAGAGCTTTTCTAGTCTGTTTAAAGTAGTTTCAAACTGACAGATGTAGAGAAAAGATTCAGAGCTTTTAGCAATACCAGGCTTTGAAAAGTCTTATTGAGAAAGTTGAGTAGAAAGTTCATCATAGAAAGCAAGCCTGAGGTCTTTGGCCTGTTCAGACAGAGGTATCCGGCATTGGTAAGCAGATTAACAGCAGGCAAAATAAATGTGTTTCTGAGCAGAATATGCTCTCTTGCAGATTCTCTTTTGCAACAGATGTTTATAGTTCGTTTTTTGGGGTCAATGGCAGTTAAAACAGACAGCACTACTGAAGTGATCTATGAAGCAATGAGACAAGTGTTAGCAGCTCGGGCTATTCATAACATCTTCCGTATGACAGAGTCTCATCTGATGGTCACCAGTCAAACTCTGAGGTACATTTGGTTTCATTTTCAGACTCTCATGGCTGCATTTGATTCCTCTGTTAGGGCACATCAACCATCTGAAACGTTAGTGCCGGAGTATGTTCAATTGAATTAGATGAAGATGCTACTCTTGTTTTGCCCCTTTCCTTTTTACATTTCCATTTTATAAGATATAATATAAAAGGTGCTCCCTTAAGGACAAGAATTCAGTGGTGACTGGAATTCCCTTATCTGAAATGCTTGGGACCAGAACTGTGTTGGATTTTTTCAGATTTGGAATATTTGAGGTGTTGGGGGATGGAACCCAAGTCTAAATATGAAATTCTTTTGTTTCATATACACAAAGGTAATGTTATATTTTTAATAATATAATATTATTTTTAATAATATAATATTTTTAATAATTTTGTTCATGAAATAAAATTTCATGGTGTGGAATTTTCCACTTGAGGCATCATGTCAGCACATTTCAGATTTTGGGCATTCTGGATTTCGAATGTTCAGATTAGGTATGCTCAGAGTGTACTATGTTTCTAAACATGCTGTTATGCTATTCTCCATGTCATATCTCAGCTTGAAAATCAAACTCATTTGAGAGTACTGTTTATAAAAATTAACAATGAAAAAAAAAAAAAACATGAATCTGCCTAAACTAGACCACTTAACTAGTTGGAATTGAGTTAGTTTTTCAGTGTTCATACCAAATTTTTATCATCCCTCCCCCAAAAGAGAATGTAAAACATCTAATAATTTTTAGATTTGGTACATGTCTGACAGTATTTTAGATTAATTTCATTTGTTTCTTTTCATGTTTTTTACTGTGACTGTTGGGAAGACTTAAATGATGTGTAAGACTTCATACTGTACTTCTATGAGACAGCACTCTGTCAGAGCCAAAAATGTCAATAACATTTGTTACTGGTTAGAGATTTTGATTGGAGATAGTAAATTGGGAATAATAATTCATTCTGAGAATTTCACAATGTCAAGTCTCCTTACTATGGCCAGTTATCAAGCCTTGGCCTACTTGTCTTGGTCTTGGTTTGAATAAGTCTCGTGGGGGCCTTTGGGAACAAAATACAAGCTTTTATCATGTGATCTGTACAAAGTACAGCAGCCCTATATCTTCCCTTGACTCAGACAAAAAATTAAGTCAACTTCATCTATCTGATCACTCAACTAAAAGCATCCTAAATACCTTTCTCTCCAAATTCCTAATCTAGTTAATCACTGAGACTGATCAACTCTACTTAAATACTTTTCCTTTCTTTCCCACTCCATTCCTCCGACCTCAGCTTAATTCCTATGATCAATCAATACTGCTCATTTGTATTTCCTTCTAGTCTGTCTTGTTGAATAGAATTTGCAATGGTTTACAGAAATAGGCTAAGGCAAAATAATTGAAAGTTTCAGGCCAGCCTGAGCCTCTCAGTAAGATCCCGTTCTGAGAGCTGGAGATGTACCTTAGCGTGAAAAGACCCGAGTTCAATCCCCACTACTGAAAAAAGAGAAATACTATAAGAATAATTGTTTCAAGTATACAAGAAAACAAAAATTTTTAAAAAAAAGTGAGAAAGTTAAACTTAAATTGATACATTGAAAAACCACCCTCTGGCATTTTAAACAACTAAACGTGGACCTTTGTGGATTTTCCAATAAGCAAGCAACCAAATCTCTGGCTAAAGAAGTCAGTTCCTAAGCCAACCTGGTGGAGATTGAGTCCTGCTTTTTCTTCTATTAGGTGCAGGGTCTCTGTTCCAGTGCCTAAGTCTTTGAGTTGATTTTTGTGCAGGGTGAGAGAGGTCTAATTTCATTTTCCTACATATGGATTTCCAGTTTTCCCAACACCGTTTGGTGAACAGGTTATCTTTTCTCCAGTATATGTTTTTGGTGCCTTTGTTTAGTATGAGATAACTGTATTTATACGGGTTGGTCTCTGTGTCTTCTATTATGTACCATTGGTCTACATGTCTGTTTTGGTGCCAATACCATGCAGTTTTTGTTAGTATTGCTCTGTAGTATAGTTTAAGGTCTGGTATTGTGATGCCTTCTGCTTCACTCTTCTTGCTAAGGATTGCTTTAGCTGTTCTGGGTCTCTTATTTTTTCCAATAAATTTCATGATTGCTTTTTATGTTTCTATGAAGAATGTCATTGGGATTTTAATAGAAATTGCATTAAATCTGTATAACAGTTTTGGTAGAATGGCCATTTTGACAATATTAATTCTGCCTACCCAAGAACATGGGAGATCTCAATCACAAGATCGAATTTCCATTACATACACACAGCTCTACAAATCTGTTTTTCAGATATACCTGGAGTTGTTACACAGAGATTGATTCACTCTAACCAAACTTAAGAGACCTAAAGGTGGAGTGGATGCCAGTGTTTTAACATACAGTAGTATACATTACTGTTACAAAGTCTGGAATGCTTCTTACCAGCTGGACAGCCCATCTGCCTGTGATTTCTATGGGAGGCCAGACTATAAGAGGGTTTTATACCTGGCTATGGCATTTCTTAGCTGCACAACTTCAGGCAAACTTCCTTAACCTCTGTATCTCAATTCCTTTAACTGTAAAATGAAAACTCTATCCACACCTCATAGTGTTGAAATAAGAAATAATTGAGTTAATATATTTAAAGCATTTACAACTGACTGGAACATGGAAAATGCTCAATGTTAGCTTCAAGAAAGGTAACTAAAACTTTGGCAAAAATGAGGATTTAGTTTCTGCCGTTCATTAAATCTGCCCTTTTCATTTATTTTAAACATTTTCAAATATTTCTGATGAACCTTACCCTGAGGATTAGATTATTATGAATAAAAAATCTTGTTTTTTTTAAAGCTTTTCTCAAGATATGTCCTGAATCTTTTATAGATCCAGGACATATCTTGACTACTCTACACATATCTTGCCTACTCTAGACATTTCAAATATATGGAAATTATAACCATTGTTTTAAAAACAGATTTTTTGCTTTCACCTAAAAAAAACTATACCAATTCCATAATAATTTATACACCATGTTAATCAAACTAACACAATATTCTCTAATGCAGGTCCAAGATACATCAACCTTATTATTAAATGAAGCTTAAAATGTTGAAAGAATACAGTCTGAAATGCCTTCTTGAAATTAAACATAACCCCTCTTACATCCATCCTGAAAAGTATAGTTTTGTCAAAACCCCTTCATTCTCTTTTCACACCTACCCCCCCCCCCCCTTTTTAAGTTAAATTTAGAATAAATTGATCCAGCACTTCAGGGGAACTAAAGTAGCCAATGAATGTTGGGAAGGAAGCTTGTACAGAATATGATCCATTCTATTATATACTAGAACTCTCAAAAATTATGCTGCTGCTTTTTGGGGGGGTAAGCACCAAAACATTGAAAATCAGTTCTTCTACTTGCTTATAATCTTCCACTATAGACAGCCTGAGTATTACCTACAGAGGTTCAAAAAAGGCAGAAACCATAGCACATGGTCTCATGAAACTGTTTTGCCCTGCCCTCAGCCAGACCTTATTTTTCATCTCTGAGGTTATTTGATGACTTCATTCTGAACTTTTACCTACTTTATAACCCCTCTCTCACCAGTTCTTATAAGTTTTTTCAACATTTGTGATATTATAAATCTCTTAAAATTGCAGGTTGATAGATCCTCAGACTCAGGTGTCAAGGGCCAACGTAAGTACCTCATCCATGTTAATGTTAGTGATTCAATGCCTTTTACCTCACCTTCTACTTTAAACACACCTAGGCACTTAATAATTTGTTAAATTAAATGACTGTCACTACTAATACACTCTTTTTCATGACTTTTCCATAGAGAATAACCTTATTTTTAAAATCCCAGTTGTTGTGATTAGACATCTAACCGTTTCCCATCCCTCCAGTTTGAACTTACCAGTGTCACACAGTTTGCTGCTCATCAAGAAAACAAAAGACTGGTTGGCTTTGTCATCCGAATTCCAGAGTCCACAGGAGAAGAGTCTCTCAGCACGTACATTTTTGAAAGCAACTCAGAAGGCGAAAAGGTCTTGTTTTTTTTTGTTTGTTTGTTTTTTAATATTAAGATTCTGTAAAATCTCAATCCAGACAAGTCCATTTTTAATGATTTTTCTTTCTGCACTAGCCCCCTGTATCTAGTTGGTCATTCCTGTGCCTCCATCCAGGAGTTCAGACAGTGATAGTTCCTAGGAAGGCCCTACTAAATTAAGAAAACTGACTTGATTAAAGTTTTCCCATGGAACAAATTATATGTCAGCTAAAATAGGGTGAATGGGGAAGAACTATATTAGCAAGATAGTTTATTATTGTAAGGATATCATGAAATGTTAAAAGCAGTTCCCCCAAAATTTGTTCCTTAAAAGAAATAATAAAGCAGAAAGTTACAGTAGAGAATAGTCTGAGAGAGCAAATCAATGAAGATATCAGGAAAACACATCTAAGCTGTTCTTTTGTTTAGTATGAAAAATACTAGAATTATCAAAGTTAATCTTCCTTTTTATTAAGTATCTGTTTACTATTATGTATCTGAACATGTAATAGCTAAATATACTTACTTCAGAGAAAAAAAAAATCCTATCAGGAATTTTAAATGCTGGAATAACTTAACTTTCCTGTAATGTTTTTTGTATGGTATAAATCAGCAATAGGAGGTTAGGACATTTGTATGCTGGGACAAATCTCCAACAGCCAATCCTGTCTTTCCATGTGGACATAAACAGTGCCCTCACTATACTTCCATATCACATTTTTTCCTAAAATTTTTATCCTTTTCTACCTTTACCAAACACTACTTTTCTTGTCTTTTGCAGATATGTTATGCTATTAATTTGGGAAAAGAAATTATTGAGGTTCAAAAGGTAAGGTGGATTTTAGTGCTGGTTTAACAACTATTCTATAGACATTTGTACATTTTTCTCAAGAGAGAAAAGTGATACTCATTAGTCAGTGAAACCAAATTTGGGATTTTCTTTAAGCATTCTAACCACCAGACATCTTTGATCATCTGTTTCCATGTTCACTGGTAGCATATCTATACTTTTTAATTAATAAGTATCATTGCTGCAGCTCCTGCTTTATTAATTTTCTTGCTTGCATATTAGTTGGTTAGGTTTCCCATGAGGTGGGTACCCACCATGCTCTACGGCCTAGCTCCTTAGAGGACGATCATAGGCCTAGCAGTATTGATAGTTATCACCTGGGAACTTATTAGAAATGAACACTGTCTCTCACATTAAGCAGCTTACAGTCTCATCCAACAAATTTTTGAGAACCTATTTTATATAAAAAATCCTGGAATTATAGTAGTGAAAGGAAAATATGGTCCTTCATCCAGGGGTATCTTTAAGTCCAGCAGTGTCTAGAAGAATTATATTACATAATAGAAATGTTCTAGATCTGCATTATTTAATATGCATACTGAATGTGGCCAATGAGGAACTGGATTTTTAAACTTAAAATATTTTACTTTAAAGAGTAAAATGAAGATACCTTTTTAGTGTAGTCAGTGCTTGAGGAGGGTGGAAGACCTATAAACTTGAAATAATGTCACACACTACAAAGTTAGTATTTAATGGTATAGGTGAGAAGTTGGCACACTTTTTCTATAAAAGGTCTTTATCTTTTAGGCTTATTATCTTCACAGCCTCTTTTCTCTGCTATTGTAACAAAAGCAGCCATAAGCAGTATGTAAATGCACAGCTGTGCTCTCATAAAACTTAGTAACTAAATAAATAGTGAGCTAAATAAATGGCCATGGTTTGTCAACTCCTGATGTAGACTAAAGACAGAAAATAATGGGGTTTAAAGACAAAGAAGACAAGAGATTTTATGAGGGAAGTTCCTGTATGGACTCTCTTTGGGAAGCTAATTATGGGTACATAAGTGATATTATGACCAAGAGGAAAATTAGCCTGGACTCTAGAATAAGTAATGCCTTTGAGTTTTTTTTCAGCAAAGTGAGGAGACCCAGCTGAAAGCCCACATTGACAAGAGTCAGGAGGAATGAGGTTAGGTAACAGAACACATTGAAAGCCAAACTGAAGGGGTTTAAGTGCATCTTAAGCATTTTCTTTTTTCCTTCTTTTAAACTCTCCTAACTTCAGGATCCAGAAGCACTGGCTCAATTAATGCTGTCTATACCACTAACCAATGATGGAAAATATGTACTGTTAAATGATCAATCAGATGACAATGATGGAAATCCAAGTGAAAATAGAAGCGCAGAATCTGAAGCGTGACTCACTGGGGCCTGTGGGGGAAGTGCGCACAGGAAGGAAAGCTACCTCCTTAAGGGTTTTCAACTTCTCTGATGTATAGGCACACTGACCTGGCTTCAGAATGCTGACAATCGTTTGTGGAATGTGCCCCTTGATGCCTTGATACTGAGACTTGGGAGGGAAACAGTTAAGAAAAGGGTGAGAGCCTTCCTACCCATCTACAAATGTTATTTTAGGTGCCTTGTGGTAAGTCTTTTTTCCTTAGATTGCATTGCAGTGCCCACAATGAGAGCTATGAAAAATGCATTGTTCACTTTATTTGAATGTCATCTCTTGAGTTTCTAGTGTCTATTTTAAAGGTGGAAAAAAAGTAGCTTTACAAGTTGATAAATACTAAGTATTTCCAATTAATATAATCTATTTTTATATTTTACTTAAAGCTTATCAAGTGCCTGTCATCCTGAAGGTTGTATATTTATAATTCAGCTTATCTCATAATTGGACCTAGCAGCATTACTGTGTGCAGTGAGGTGACAAGCACTGCTTTGAAGCCCAAGCACCAGTAGAGATGCAGGTCTAGTATTGGCAACTATGTTAGACATCATGCAATAGAAGGACTAGTAGATGAATACTACAAAGAAAGTTTTATAACACAACCTCACTGAACCAGCATTCAGAAGTTTAAGGTCCTCTTAGATATGACCTTTTAATGGCTATTCAGGATGCAGCTCTATCAGTTCCTGTTTCTTCTGAGCCAGACCCTCCTCAAGGAAGGGGTCAATTAATTTTTAAAACTCACTTGAAGCACAGCTGGTCGTGGGGCTTGGTCTGAAGTTCCTATTTCTACCCCAATATTTTCTGGTTCCTAGACTCCCAGATCCCTCTTAGCTATGAAATAAATATAAGATCATGAATTGGTACAGTGTGTTTAATTGTAACCAAGTTCAACAGACTATCATTTTTGTAATTAACCAGCAATAAATATTACCATTCTGTTTCTTTCTTTTGCTTGCTGTTATTTTGTAGAATATTTCCTGGAAGGAAACTAGAGTCAGTTCTCTGGATATAACAATTTAACAAAAACAAAAAACCACACACCACTAAGGTTTAATGAAATCACTGCAGAGGGGACAGCTCATCAAAAAGTAACTATTCAACATGAGTATTTTTTTAAATGGGGAATTAATAAAACAACCTTTGCAACCCAAAACTAATTTAACTTCATAGGGTCTATTAGAAGAATCATCCTGTAATGTACACACCATCATAGACATGGATAGCTGATCTAAGCCAATATGAGACCATTAAGTGAGTTCTAGATTCATTCTAACTGTAGTAGATCAGTAAATCCTCAGCTGCAAAAGCCACAGTCCTCCCCCACCCCCAATAGACTTTTTCAGTGGAGGGAGGTATGAAGTAGAGAATCTCAAGTCTTGAACAGTTAGTTACTAGGTTGGAAACTAAAGCATTGTTAATACTGTGGCTTAAATAAGATACAGACCATGCAGAAAATAAGGAAAAGATAAAAAGTCTGAAATTCAGCACCTTAAAAAAACTTCATCACAAAATACAAGGGCTGGGGAAGAAATTCAGTGACAGCACTTGCCTAGCTTGTGTGAGGCTCTGGATTTAATTGATACCCATCATCATCAAAAAAAAAAAAATGAAAATATTAACTAAGCAAAGATACAAGACCAAATATTCAGAATATATAAAATACTCCCAAGTATTTTAAAAACGTACAAAGTCATGAAAGCATTTCATAGATTAAAAACTACAAAGGACTCAAACAGAATTGTGCTCATTCTCTCATAATAGAAAGTGCAAATTAAAACCACAGACTGCAAATATTTAGCTGTTGGAAGGGAAAGGAGCAATGGGGAGTCTAACCCACTGCTGAAATGAGAGAACAGTGTGACAGTCTATAGTAAATTTGAAAGTGTGCCTGTCCCACCACTTACCAGTTTCAACACATGCTCTAGGACATGTACAACAGTGATTACAGCCAGAATGTTCAATAGTATCCCAATGTCATCAGTGGTACAGTAGGTTAAACATCTACAATCACTAACAATATTAGAGAAGTAAAAATAAGATATAGCTATGCACCAACATGCATTTCAAAAATCATACTAGAGTCATAAAAACATACAGTGTAAGATGCTATTTATGGTAAGGATAAACATGCAAAACACTACATTATTTAGGAAAATACAGAAAGGTGATAAAACTAAACAAAAGCAATAGACCTATTTCCACCAAACCCTGAACAGTAGTTGGGGGAATGCTGGGAGGGAGCCTCTGAGGAAGTGGGAACAAATGTTCAACCAACACCGTCACTTCCCGAGTAGTATTCTTTAAATAGGACATACATATTTTTAAATAAAAATTTTAATTTAGAAACCAGGTGATCTGCCCTTTTTCTCAACTTACTGAATTGTGTATTAATGCATATAGAAGCCCTGTGAAAAATTAATGAGTGCCAAATGAATGGTGGGAGTATAGGAAATGGAACCTTTTTAGAAAACCAGCTATCCTCACCAGTTTCGATTTCCATGTGGATTTCTCCATCACATACCCATAAGTCTGCCCTCTTATGACTGCTTTTAGAGAAGAGCAAGGCCTTCTTCACATTTACAACTAGCCTAGTCACTGAGCTAAGAACCTAGACTCGCCACAGTCAAATACAGACTGCTTTTCAAACTCCACCTAAAAGAGTGATAATAGCAGCTAACACTTATATACCAAATGCATTTCTACCTAAGAGTACAAATCAATAAGCCATATAAAAGCTAAAATGTAAAATATAAAGTGTTTTATATAAATTAATCCTCAAAATCCCATGAACTCCTTATCCCATCTTGTGCCTATATAACCTCACAGGCAGCAAATCAAGATTCACATCAGTTTGTCCTTGGAGTGTATGCTTCTAACCACTATGGGTTATGTATATGACCTCAGAGATAAGCAATTACCAAATATTTCTTAGTACTAAGCTGTGAAGATTATTCTGATATTCAGAAACTATATCAAAGTATCTTTATTTCTACAAAAATTGTTTAAATACTTTAAAATTGATTTTATATCAACAGATACTTCTAGGTATAAAAGTTTCCCCCCTCCTTAATGAGGGCACTACTACAGAATGCTTCAGTTTACATATATCTTACATTATACAATGTTTTAGTTCTTAAAGATGATCCCAGAATTATGACATCAGACATGAATCAATGGAAAGATAAATTTCATCTATATTCCTGCGAAATTTATCTCCACTAATGGGAACTCGAGAGATCACTTAGTTTTAAGTGGTAATGAAGAGGTAAGCTATCAAAATAGGGAAACTACTTACTGGCCAAACTTTTTATATACTGTACTATATGTAAAAATTTACTTTTATATAAACTATAACTTTGCCATCACCATCTCAAGAGTTCCTTGTACAATCTAATTTCTATAGATTTCTACTTACTCTAGATTCCTCTTTTTTATCTGAAATCTTAAAAACCTATGTAATTGTTCCTAACACCTAAAAGCTTTATTTAAAAATTATTTTTATACAGACAGATACTTCTAGGTACCTGTCAGCTCTCCCTAAGCCAGAGAAGAGCTGATACTGGATGGGAAAACTGCAATGAGCAACCCTGAAGGATGAAGTATCTTCCTCCAGTACACAGAGCAGGCTTTTTTTTTTTACTATTTGCTATATAAGTCATGGATTTCCTAAACTCGGTGGTCTTCAGGAGTAACAAAGCCCCTAGGCATTAAAGCATCTGTCAGGATCCACGAAACATTTCCCTATGGAATTTAAGGGAAAGGGGGACTGATGAAAATACGCTGGTGCTCATATTGCCTGCATTATTGTCCCTTTGGTCAGCATCCATGACATCATGGCAATCAAACGTGGTAGCCTGCAAGTAGGGTAATATCACATCCAAGATCCTTATACCAAGAGCATATGTAAATTGTGGTTTGCATTGACTTTAGTGGCAAACCAAATAAATAATGTTAATCTCCACTGACAGGAAAATAGTTCAATAAAATGGTGCATCAATACCAAGGAGTAGCGGGGTGACAGACATCTGAAACTTCTGCAACCTGAAGCTGGAAAAGAGAATAGTGCCAAGATTTTTAAAGTTGCTAGGCATGGTGGCACATACCTGTAATCCCAGTGGCTCAGGAGGCTGAGGCAGGAGGATCACAAGTTCAAAGCCAGCCTCAGCAAAAGCGAGGCACTACGCAACGCTGTGAAACCCTGTGTCTAAGTAAAGATACAAAATTGGGCTGGGGATATGGCTCAGTGTTCGAGATCCCCGGAGTTCAATCCCCAGTACCCATCCCCCCAAATTATGAAAGTCTACCATTCATACATTCAGCAAAACTAGCATCAAAAAGTAACATGATATACGTGGTAGTATTATCTTTCCCACAATTTTACAAATTTAATACCTCAGAATAAAAAAGGTGGTAATCAGACATTTCTCCAGCATAATGTTTAACAGGATTGTTATCTCTTGCCCTCCAATGTAGATTTAAAAGGCTCTTGTTTATTACTGTTTCACTTCAACCCATGTTTGTAAATAGGATTATAGATATTTCTAATATATTAAGCACTTCATACTTAGGATCCCTTTCCAGGATTAATAAATTCATGTTGTTCTTTTTATTTGAAAATATCGAGCTATTGGAAAGATCAAGAATGGATAAAGGAAAGAAATCAAAGGTTCTTTTCCTGGGATAGACAAAATCCAATCCCATTATATACTTGAAATTTTTTGCCTCTGGACAGCTTGCAAGCATTTTTTCTTTGAGGGATTCCATATATTTTATTTGATTTCAGGGGACCCAAAAAGGTAAATGTTAAGAACTACTGGTTCAAGACATTCAATTTTGAACATAAAAATCCAGGGGAAGGAAAAATTTAAAACTATATTTATTAATGTTTTATTATACATATTGTATTTTCTTAGAATTGGGAGAGGGAACCCCCACTCAAGTGAGGTAACAAACTTGCCATCCTTTACAAAATTTAATTTGAATTGACAATGTATGGTTAGTCCTTAATTCCTGAGAATTTGAACATCATTAAGTTTTCTGTGAACTTATAACAAATGTTCACATTAATTTTTAAATTACAGTATGTCTGAAAAAATATTAACATTAATATGTTAGTAAGAAAAAACATCCAAGTGTATATATTAACTCAGGTGGGAATATACTGAAGCCCTGTTGCTCTGCAGTTTGATACCATTTAAATACTTTTCAGAGATTTTATTTCAAGTATGTGAAATTATAATTTCTCCAGACTGCAGTGATGTTATTTTGAACTAAAGGTGAAATAATAATCTGTCACTTTCTTCTCAATTGTAGGTATCCAGGGAGTCAGCATGTGGCCTCTAGTATTGATAAAATGATTAATTTACATATGGGGATAATCAAGAAATGTGATTCTTTTAATCACAATTTCTATCCCCACTGAAGGATATAATTTTAGAAAGTTAGAGAAGAAAAACAGAAAACAATACTGTTGCTATGAAATGGTGACTAATTTGATACAATTAAATGCAATATCATTAATATAAACATTTATAATAATGAAAATATAAATTATCAATTATGCAGCATGCTTTAGGGCCATTTCTACAGTTAGTATGAATTAAAAATATCAAATGTCTTTAATCTATCCATTGTCCATAATTTTTAAGCCATGTTTACATAATAAACATAAAACAGTTTCTACAAATTCTGTTTCTTCTGACTTTAATAGAGAAGGTATTTATCTTGGGCTGGGAAAGTTTTCCTGACCCTAAACCAATGAGCACAGACAGAGCACTGAATACCCATTCCAAAAATGTTAGAATTCCTTCCTTGCAGGATTTATCCATAGAAATGTTTAGCAGGCAAATACAACAGAAAAATCAAGCATTTTCCCAAAGGATATTTGTATTACATTTAAAGTTTTAAATTTTCCTTTTCATCATAAAGGTATTATTTTATTATATTTAAAAAGGCCAAAATTAAACCATGTAATTATTAACTAACATCTTTACAAAAATAAAGCCAGTAGCTTGCCAGGAACTAAAATTTACTCAAAATCTTTCTATATTTTTAAAATCAGGAAGTGATTTATTAGAGTTTTATTCTCACAGTGGTAATTTTTTAAAAGCCTGCACAGTGCAATTATTCAATCTTGTATTTTAGATTATACTTGATATGAAGAAAAAGCCTGCCCAAACCATCAGGATTTCAATTTAACCTAACATAGAAGAAACCTGAGTTTAGATGTAGAAACAATTCATTCAACTTATTCTGATATCAACCAGAAGTGAACAAGCAGGATTCTATGGCTTTATCTGACTTTTGAGTATTAAGTAAATCTTAAAGCAGTTGTTGGAGGTTAAATGTTCCCAAAGCAATGTAAACTAATTACAATGTCTCATCAAAAGACATCAGCAGCAGCTCTTGTGAGTCACACGAAATTAACAACGAAGGATCATCAGTTATACTGTACACAAAGGGTACATAACACATTTGTACCTCACCTCCAGTATCAAAGTCGTCTTCACATACTCTTTTTGTAAGAATATTGATATGTATGTTTCATAAATTTCAGGTTCAATTCCTTTTTTTTTTAAGACATGTATTTACTGGCTATATAGTATATGCATTGAATTTCCAATGACTTGAGATAAAGACTTATGCAAATATAAATTACAAACACTTGTAGACTGCAAGAGATCTGAGGTGACATTTTAGGAATCTGGATTTGCCAACAAATAATTTTTCCTAGAAACATCTTCTAGCCTAAAGTCTAGGCAAAAGTCAAATTTTAAAATCTTATTCTCAACCTTTGAAAAGCACAGCCTTTGTAAACAGAATGGCTGAACTTCAGAGTACTGCCTTAAGAGTTGTCACAACTAAAATATTTTCCAGAGATGTGACCCAGGAAACAATTTGATGATAGCTTACAACATCCATTTCACTGGCAAAAATATTAACACAATTCTGATGATTTCATACCATCAATATCACTTCACAACAGGATCAGTAGACACAGTGCAGTCAGACAGGTCTCCATTGCTTGTTTTAGTTTCTTCTAGAAGTATGAGTGAAAACAACAATGGTCATATTTATGTTCAATTTTAAAAAGTGAATTAAAACGTAAATAAAATTTGAAAAGAGCAATATTGTTACATATCAAATTAAAAGGTTGTATCCATCAAACTTTTCTTTAATATAACAAATTATAACTAGTTTTTGTTTTGTTTTACATAGACCAAATACTAAGCAAGTTCTGACTGGTTGTTAATGGAAATGCAGAGTTGAGAGAGAGGAATCGCAACTGGGGAGGGACTTCAAATTCAGCATCTTTTTCCTGTGGAATCTTGGTATCTCTCATCTAAATAGGTTATGCCCCCCCCCCCCCAAACACCACTTCCTCCAGTTGAACCAAGAAATCACCACTATGGTGCACTGCCAATACTGACAGAGATGTGGCAGCAAACTCACATATTAAAATTGTCCAGAATGAATAACTTTCCATTTGTACTTGTAACTTACTTTTTATAAACAGCTTTTTACTGTCTGGGATCAGAACAAAATCCTGGCATTTTGTGCAAATGTCATGTACATATACTATTTAACAAATGAAAATTATTTGACAAATGTACTTATTCAGCAACTGACATCCCTGAGCAATCTTTAGCTAAAATACAGTTAAGAAGTGTAACTTGAGCATGTAAGTGATAATACATCAAACCAGAACCCTAGAGAGTTCTTCAAGAAAAAAATCAAAGCAAGGAATCCACTGCCTTGAGACTACAGGGTTTGGTGGTTTTGTTTTAATGATTCAGGATTTAAAGCAAATGGTCTAATCCATCTGCAGTTTTTTTCCAGTCACGGGCACTGAAAACAAGGTTCCGGCATCACAAAATGCCTAAGCAGAACCTAAGCACTCAAGTTTCTGCACAGTTTAGATTATATTAACTCAAATTCTTCCAAATCTTTTGCCTTGAAAATGAACCTAAATGGAATTAATTTAATAAATACTAAATATCTTCCAGATAATAGTCTAAAATAATTTTAAGCATGTTTAATTCTAATTCATGAATTAAGTAAATTTCTTTTCAACTTAAATATAGGCATTAGTTTTTTTTTAAAAGACTTATTTCTAGGTCTATATTATTTTCCAAAAGAAAAAAAGAAGCTAGAAATCTGACCCAAAAATGGTGCATTCATGTCTACAGTTAAAAAGAGATTTATTGTTTTTTTCCAAATTCAAGTCACTCACTGACCTTCCTTTTCTTTCTTTTCTTGGTTCTCTTCAGCTGCAGTCTTGTCTGCTCTGAAGAAAATTCTTGCACTGCTCAGTGAGAAATAGAGCAATTCAAATTCCTAAATAAACAAATTTGAAATAAAAAGGAAAAATGCTTATTATCACAAAATATCAAGAATAAAAGAAACAAAACTAAAAAGAAAATATTTGTACTTTAATGTGTCTTATATTAAAACCCTCTGGCATAAATCATAAATAAACTTAACTAAGTAGCCCATCCATTATTAAGATCTGAATCAAACAACTTTCAAATATCATTAATCCTAAAATATACCCTATATTCCTCTCACTTGTTTAAAATGGGGTTTTCCATATGGATTATGGTTTTCAGATATCAAAAAGCAAGTCAAAGCAGATTTGACTTTTACATTCCTCTACCTGTAGATAGACATCCAGTCGCTTCTGAGTGAGGTTCATGGTTTGCAATAGTTTTTCATCTTGACTAGCTGATTGTATGTTCTGTTGCTTAGCAACTGCTCTTATCTCCTTCAGGTATTTCTCTCTAACAGACTGGAACCAGTGAAGTGAATCAAACTCCTGGTACTGATCCAAAAGCTTTAGGATGTAAGCCACACCTACAGTCATAAGCAAAATTACAGTGAGTGTAGAGGTGTATTCTATGCCTTCACCAATAACTCTTAGCAATAAGCTAACCATTTTGAATCAATACTCTTTCAAATCACATTTTACTGCATAAATGAGTGAAGCTACCAAGATGGCTTAATTTTCCTAAGAAAATATGTAAGAATGTAAAAAACTAAAGAAAAATCAATTAAGAAGAAAATAAATAATATGGCCTGCAAAAATATTGGGCTATTGAGGGTAGTGAATAAAAAGTTTCACTGATAGGGCTGGGGCTGGGTCTCAGTGGTAGAGCACTTGCTTCACACAGAACGTGTGACACACTGGGTTCAATTCTCAGCACCACATAAAAATAATAATAATAGTATTGTGTTCATCTACAACTAAAAAAAATATTTAAAAAAAAAGTTCCACTGATAAAGAGCAAGTGAAGAGGAAGTTACAGGCAAACCAGGGAAACTAGATACAAGATGCTTAAAACTATGAAAACCCAACAAAAACAAAGCCTAAGTGTTCAGTCAAGTTAGAAAAGTGATTAGCAATACTAACAGACTATTGAAATACAGTTAAGATGATGAGGAAAAAAAAGTATTGTCAGATGACCCCACTAAAATGAAACAAACAGTAAGCACTATCCCATGAAAAAATCAATCTGTAAAGAGCACAAAAACCTATTTTTAAGTCAATATAAAAACATATTTTAAGGTGAATATAAAATCAGTGGGAAAATAGTTCCATTTAAGCTTACCCATGGCAAAACCATCATCAGTAAAGGCTGCTCCAATTTTATTTTTTTTATTCAATTTTTCCTTGCAACTAATGGAATGCTCTACAAAGTTGAGAGTCTAAAAAGAGATAAGATATTAAAGAAACAACTGTTAAGAAAGTCTTTAGAATCTTCAGAACAGACATTTCAAAAACTGCAAAATGAACCTCTAGGTTCCTGTCTTTCGTTCTGAAACATTTGCCTAAGACAATCTCTTATTGAGGACACAAATCCATTCAAATGTCTCTTAATGGCTTTCTTTCCAAGCCCTTAAAACATGGGTCTTCCTTCAATCACTACTTAACCCAACCACAGTGTATATGATTCATTATAAAGTATGATACACATTTTAGAGATGAAAACACTGAGCACTGGGAGATTTAGCATCTCACCCAAAATGATACAAAAAGAATGTAGGAGTCAGAAATGGTCCTGCTTTATAACAAAATACTCGTAAGCCTATGCAGGAAGCTTTTACTTATGCCTGCTTGATTCATTCTAAAATACTACTTATCATGTTTTTGGTTAAAAGGGATTAAAAGTCCTTTGGCTAAAGGGTGAATTCCTCAAAAGTGGTACTTCTCTTGAAAATTCAGCTTTTCCAAAATACCTTATCTAATCAATTTGTTCAACAAAGATTTACTGAAGCTACTATGTAACAGGCATAAAAGAACTTTTGATTAGGAAAAAAAAAAACTGATTACCATCTAGAGTTTACACCAAGCAGCACTCCTGGCACAGTAGATTTTTTTTTCCTGTCCAACATACTAAGCCATTAGTCATATGTGGCCACTGAGGCTAGTATAACTGAAAAAGTGAACTTTTAATTTCATAAAATTAAAAAAAAAAACTTTTAGTGGCCACATGTGATAATACAAGGACAGCAGAGCTAAGAGGGGTACAGAAAACATTGTTTAAAAAATAATTATGATACAGTGATGAATACAGTTAACAGCAAACATTGAAAACAAAACATCAAGTTTCACTTTTATTGCCTGTGAAATTCATTTCACAATCACGTATTTGCAAAATATTTATCAACTGTTATTTAAATCTTTTTTAAGATAGCTTATTTACATTTTAAAACTGTAAACTTGAGCACAAAGGTAGTGTTCTATACTTCTTGGTAGGGCTCTTAGTCCATTTGGAACTGAATTCTGTAAATCTCCAGGCTCCCCCCTAAGCTCACCAATGGTTTTCATTACTGCTACTGGGGCCTAAACATTTGTCCTCCATCTTAAAGAAATACGGTGAGAACTCACCCTAAGTTAACTACAGTGTTGCCACATACTAGTTTGGACCTAGCCTAAAATGGAAAGATGCTTATTAGATGAATGTGGACATCTTTGCTCTATCATAGCTACTAAATTGTAATGATAACTAACAATAAGTATATAAAACAAAATTTATGAAAAACAAAAGCTATCAATAAGTCAGTAGCTATTTCTGATAGGTAATAATGGTTATGTAAAATGTATGAAGATGGGTGTCAACAATTCAGGCAAAAATATGAAAAGTTGTTATTCTTGGTCAAAGGTAGATATAATAAAAAGCTAAAACTGCAAAGTGATGTTTAGATTTTAGAGCTATCTATTTACAAATTGAAAAACTTTTATAGAAAGCTTCAGGGAAGATTAACCTCTCTAAACTTTTGACTCCATTTCCCCCACTGGAAAAACTGTCTTTATAATGTCATTTTTGTTAATAAGCTACTTTTTGATAGTGACTACAGAAATACAGAACATATTACATATTTTAATAAGGAGAAAGCACTAAATATTTAGGTATTGGTATTTACTACTGAATAGACAGAAGTTATCCTCAAATAACAGGCTTTTAAGAGAGATGTTAGAAAAAACTTTATATTAAAACAGCTGAAGTCAGTCTATGCTAAGCAATTAAAATGATTACATGGTATTATTCTGGCCAAAGATTCCATGGGATATGTAATGGCATATACTCAAGTAATTTAAAACACTCTGATTTCTCTGGCAGTATATAACAAATAATAATCTCTTAACTATTAAATAAGTTCAACATAGCTAATGAATAAAAAAAAAAGTTGGTCACATTCACTGAGCTCACACTTAGTTTTACCTACAACCAGAAAGTCAGTAATACAGTCTGTGTGCATTTCATGCTTACAAGAAAACCAGATTTATTAATACTCTTTTCAAATTCATTTTAGGTTCTGAATATACTCACTAGAGGAGGAACAATGATATAGAAATTTCGGAGATGTATATTCTTTGGCCTTCGAAATTCTGGAGCAAAAACATCTACAAGCATTTTGAAATATTCTGTGCCTTCAGCAGAATTTCGTGTATGATCACTGAGGACCGAGTCCAAATGCCTAAAAACCAAACAAACAAAAATGTGTTTCCTCTTTTAAACAAGGTGTGGCCTTTAAAAAACAGCGTGTGCTTTTAGATAAAAGCACTCATAAGCAGGAAATATTATACAATTTCTATATAAGTTTCCTTGGAGTTCACAATGAAATAATTTTCTTATGGGAAGAAACTGATTAGAATCATCTAGTTAACTTAATTATTAAAACAGAATAGAGCATCCGGGGACTTAAAATGATAAGGTTCTGTATTTCTTTTCCCCACAATGAGCCCTGTACAACATCTCATTGTAAGTAAAGTCTTCATTTTAAGTCTCTTCACTAGTCCTTCCTCTACATCTCCTTACCTCAACTTAAACCTGGCCTTCTTTCAAGAAGCTTTTCTTTCAATCTTCAGAAATATTAGCTGCTTTTCCTCCTGAAATCCTCACGTATACTACTTCTACATGTTATTCCTCCACAAGAGGAAGGCAGAAATCTCTCCTTTAATCCAACTACATGATCCAACTACAGATGCTCCTCAACCAACAATGGGTCTGCATCCTGATAAATCCACAGTAAATTGAAAATAAAGTAAAAAAAAAAAAAAATGTGTGTATACACGTAGCCAACTGAACGCGATAGCCTAGCAATGCAGTATACTGGAGTATATCAGTTGTTTCGCTTTCTGATTGTGAGGCTGACAGGGAGCTACAACTCACTGTTCTGCTCTGTATCGCACAAGAGGTTCATAATGCAAATTGCTAGCCCAAAAAGAGATCCAAATCCAAGACATACAGGAGCTTAGGGATGCAGTTTAGTGGTAAAGTACTTGCCTCGCAAGCACCAGGTACTAGCAAGCACCAGGCCCTAAGCTTGATCTCAGCACCACAAAAACATAAATCAAAATAATCAAAGTATAATTTCTACTGAATGCTTTATCATTTTCACACCATCCTAAAATTGAAAAAAGAGTAAAGTTGAAAGTAAAATAAAATGGTAAGTTGAGCCATTATAAATCAGTGGTCATCTGTATATTCATCTACTCTTTTGGAAAGCATGCATCTACCAATTTTTAGCCACTACCCTAACTTAGAATCTAGGACTAGGATGCCTTCCCCAGTTCTCTACTGTTTATGTGGATAATTTACTCATTACCATGACCCCACAACTCTTGGATTTCATCTGCCATGACATTTCTTCACTTACTATTAACCATCCTCTCCCTTGCACAAATGTGGATCTTTCAGTTAGCAATCGGCTTTACCCTAGATATCTTAAAAACCAGTATCCTACTGTAACTTCCTTTGGCTTCTTCAAAGTATTTTTTAAACAGTCCCCAATTTTGAAGAAAATGATGACATTTAACAGGAGATAAAGGGTCCAATTTTCTTTCTTTGGTATGCAAGCCACAACCATTTTAATCATTTTCATGACTTCAAATGACTTTAATACCTGTCTTCTGTAATCTAGTAAAGCACTATGCTATCCAGTAGGATACTGCAGAACAAAGTTTCTGTGTTCGGGTCATGTTTTCATTAAAATGTACACATATATTTTCTGGTATATTTTAATATTTTTATTTTTAAAAATATCAAGCCTATTAAAATACAGTATAATGAACCCTGAATGCCCTTAATTAGATTCACACTTCTTCACAATTTACTAGTTTTCTCTATTTTTCAGAAACATTTCAAAATTGCAGACCTCATGTCACTTAGCACATAAATACTTCAGCATTACTTTATTAGAACAAAGACATTTCCCTAAAAAGCCACATCAGTACACCCAAGAATAAAATACAACATTATCTAATACACAACCCATTTTTCAAATCTCCCCAATCATTCCCCAAATGTCCTTTATAGATAAATGTTTTCTTTACCTGGATTATGATTAAGGACAACCCCATTACATTTGATTATCAGGTCTCTTTATTCTCCTAATCTAGACAGCCTCTTTGCATTTTTGGTCTTTCATGACATCTGACATTTTTTAAGAGTCTAGGCCAGGTATTTCACAGAACGCCCCACATTCTGGATTTCTCACATTGCTTCTTCCTAATAAATTCAGAGAAACACTCCTAGGAAGAATATAAACTAGGTGCTTGTCATTAAATTACATCATGAGGCCATATAATATCAGTCTGTCCCATTACCAATGTGCTGTTTTATCACTTGATTAACGTGGTAGACATCTCTTCTACATTGCAGATAGCTTTTCCCTGTGTGATTAATAAGCAATTTTGTGGGATGATTTTTTTTTTTTTTAGAGAGAGAGAATTTTAATATTTATTTTTTAGTTTTTGGCGGACACAACATCTTTGTTTGTATGTGGTGCTGAGGATCGAACCCGGGCCGCACGCATGCCAGGCGAGTGCGCTACCGCTTGAGCCACATCCCCAGCCCTTGTGGGATGATTTTTGAAAATGAATTCTCTGGTTTCCAAAAACTTTTCACCCAACATTTAAGTGTTATAATTGCAAAATGTGATATTTTTCCCCTTAATTTTCTCATCTGCTTTATGTTAGCGGCCATTCTTTTGTTAAAAGAAAAAAACAACTCTGTTTTAACCTTTCTTATTATCACTATAATTCATAGATTTTTTTATTCAATGTTTTATGACATATTTCTATCATTACTCTTTTTTTTTTTTTTAAGTTGTAGATGGACACAATACCTTTATTTTGTTTATTTTTATGTGGTGCCAGGGATGGAACCCAGTGCCTTACGCATGGCGAGGTAAGCGCTCTACCAATGAGCCGCAACCCCAGCTCCCCATTACTCTTTTTGACATTCAAACTGTCTCTCCACTTTGTTCAGAGTGCCCCTTCAAATCTGATTCAATAAAATGCTATAAATATTTAAAATAATATCTACAATTTTCTAAACAAATTCTTAATTTTTCTCTCAAGTTTTATGTTACAAAATCACTAATGACTCAAGCCTGTAGATCTGCACTACCCAATAAGATCCCTATCAGTAGTAAAATGAAAAAAAAATCAGTTCCCCAGTCTAATCTGCCATATTTCAAGCGCTCAACAGCAATGTATGGTAGTGGCTGCTCTCCTAGAGGACTCTACTATGCTGCTTTAGAGGACATGAAAGGAAGGACTGGCATTCAAGAACAGTGTTAATGAATAGAAATATTTTTAAAGAAGAAATAGGTAAATGAATTTTACGAATGAGATATCTGAAATCCTTTTCTTATACTAAATCTTTGAGATAAGTTGTTTGACCCAAACACATTTCAGGTGCCTAGAGTCATATGTGGCTAGTGAGTTCCATACTGGACAGCATGTTCCAGAAGATCCCTTTTTAGTGAAGTTGGAAAGATCCTGGAATGCTATAAGTCTCTAAAAAACAATGTTATTTCATAAACTGAGACCATACATAATTTGCATAATAAAGACCCTGGCATATAAATTACATATTACCCTCTAGTCTTCTCATTAATGTTTTATATAAACACACTATTTTAAACTTCCAAATTTAATTATTCCAAAATTAGACTACCTTGCTGCTTTTAATGTTTCTTCTGAAAGACCTTCTTCTTTCACTAGTTCCTCAAAGTTTACAATATCTTCAAGATCAGGCACAAATCTATATAAGAATTTGGGAAGGAATTTATTAGAGCAACTGACACAGACATAAAAGTGGTACCATAGGACTCAAAATTTTTCAATTATGCATTTAGGAAGAACTCTACATTTCATTAACATTGTTAATATCACCACTTAAGTTCCAAATCAAATTTTAGACATGATCACATTTTAATCCTTAAAATCACATACTCTTTAGATCCTCTTGTTTTCCATACTGACAAATAAACATAACTACAACCTTAAGAGAAATAAAGATTTCAAAAGTATAAAGCAAAGAAATCTAGTAGAAGTAATGGTTTTCTTTCACATTAGAATTAATGGATTTTGTCTACATTTTATCTCAAAATATATTAACACAAATAAACACCTTCTCTATAATCAATAAACAGATTTAAGTAACAATTTTCAAATAGCATAAACAAGGCAAAAATGATATTTGCATCCATACCTAATGGCATTGCTGCTACAATGAAGACCACCAGATCTTATCATTCGTACATAGCCCATAGCATTACCTTAAAAACCACATAAAAAAATCAGATATTTATATAAATAACTCTAAATTCTATAATCAGGAATATAATTACATACAGTAGTCAATTACAAGGTTTCCACTCCGAAGTACCAAAATAATCTGCTATATTTTACTTCTGTTCAGTGTTCCATTAAAAGCAAAACTGTTAACATATTTCTGTACTTAAAAGTTATATACATCTACATTAAATATTTAAAATAAACCCAACTTTCAACAAACTAAATTCATTAAATGCTATGTTAAAATGATCTAACAGTTTTAAATTGTAATATCAATAGTTTATTTGCTTTCACACCAAAATCCAGTTTCCTCTTTTTCTCCCTCCCTCTTCAACAACGTTTGCAGTTATCATCCTATTCCTAATTGCCACATCTTGCCTAGAACACTACAATATGCAATGGTTTCCTGATTTCCCTACCTTCACCATTAGTACCCTGCCGTATCCTTCAATCTTTCATTTAACTAGCAGCTAGTTACTGCTGGAGGCAGGGGCAGTACTGGGGATTGAACTCAAAAGTGCTTAACCACTGAGCCACATTCCCAGCCCTTTTTCTTTTTTATTCTGAGACAGGGCCTCACTAATTGTTTAGGGCCTTGCTAAGCTGATAAAGCTGACCATGAACTTGGAATCCTCCTGCATCAACCTTGTGTGTTGCTGGGATTACAGGTGTGCACCAATACATCCAGCTACAGCTAGTTACTTTATAAAAACTAAGTTGGAGCACATCAGCCTTTTCTGAAAACTCTACAATGGTTTTCCATCTCAATAAAACCCAAACTCTGTATGTTCAACTTCAGTATAGCCCTGCATTTTCCTGCCCCTGGCTGCTATTCTGCTATCACACCCTGCCGATCAGGTCTTCACTAACTCCATTCCAGCCCCCAGCCAAGTCCTCACAATGCCAAGCAGACTTGGGAGTTTTGCAATTGACTATCAACTGTCAGGTATACTTTTTCCCTAGATATGAACAAGGTTTATGCCCTCATTTTATTAAGTCCCTGTTCATATGTCACCTTCAAAAGCTTTCCCTGAATATCACTGCGTAATGCCCAATCCCATTACATAACCTCACCCAGCACTTATCAGTGACATATTATCTTTTTGTTTATATTTCCCCCCACTACAATGCAAGATCCATGAGTACAGCCTTTGACTTCTTCATTGCTTCATCCCTAGAGTCAGCAAGTCCTAGCACAGGGTAGGAATTCAATACAAAATTGAAGTGAATTGAAATTATTTAGGAGAGAACAGATAAAAAGGTAAGAAGCAGTTAACATTTTTTAACCATTATGGTAACATATGTTTTGACATTAACAACCCTACGAGGCAGGTATCACTAAATCTATCTTAAGGCCTGTCCCAGTGGGGGTTTTGAGGTTTTTTTTTTTTTAAAGCACATATTAGAAAAATCAATTATCTAGTTTTACTATTTTCCTCCAAACTGTCAGACATATGTCTGGCTAATTGAAATGTAAGAGGTAGATACAGAGCAATGGTTAAAAGCAAAGCTCTGAAACCAGACTACTTGGGTTCACATTCAGACTCTGCCACTCATTAGCTGGAAGATCTAGGTCAAATTATGGAACTTCTTTTTATGTCAGTCTCATCTGTTAAACTCTAGAAGGGCAGAGATCTTTTTTACTGTCAAAATTCTGACATTAGTATGTGAAAAATGAAATTTAAGCAATACTGCTCCAAAGACAGCTCTAAATCTGAGGTCCCCAGACCCACACTTAAAGCACCTGGACTCTTGTACCTTATATACAAAAGTATAAGTACATACAGGCATTAGTTCTAGGAGAAATCAATCCAGAATTTTCACCAGATTCTCAAAAACTAAGAATTACTGCTCCAGAAGTGGCCACCTAATATGATATCAAATGTCTCCCTGAAGAAAACAATACTCAACACCTTATATTAAATGGTTTAAGATAAAAAATTTACAAAGCTAATATTTTTGTACTATCATAGAAACATCTAATATCCAAACCAAGCAATCTATAAAACTTAAGCTACAATTCAGTGACGTTACTCTAGCACTAAATACTTGTAACGTATTTCCTACTAGTAAATTTAAAGCCCCTTGGGAGCAAAGATTGTCTGCATCCCCAGCACCTGAAAGAACATTAATCACAATTGATGCTTAGTAAATGTTTGATAAATGAATAAATGAATCTCAGAAGGCAAAAATTTCCTAAAATATAGCTAAGAAGATATTATTAAGTGATTGGTGTCATTTAACATAAAATGTGAAGAATTTAAAAACACCTCTGGACTTATACCTGAACAACCTGATTTAAGCCTCAGCAACACCATTTTTTTTTTCTCTAAGTCTCTGTCTTTTTCTTTCACTCCCTCCTTCTCTCTCCTTTTCTATTTATTTATTTTTAGTTCTAGAGATTTAACCCAGGGATGCTTAACCACTAAGCTATATCCCCAGCCCTTTTTTTTTATTTTAAGACACAGTCTCACTAAGTTGCTGAGGCTGGCTTTAAATTTGCAATCCCCCTGCCTCTGCCTCCCAAGTAGCTGGGATTACAGGTGTACACCACCATGCCTGGCCTCTTTCTGCATTTTAAAAACAGTGATTACAGTCTCTCTTTCAGAATTATTGTAAGGACATTAACAAAGATAATATGTGAAAAGCCTAAATAAGTATAAGATTTTATTAAGCTATGATTATTTTTAACTGCTTTTAAATGTCATATACTATATTTCAGAAGACAAATTCCACTTGTTAGTTCAAATCATATGCACATGTATAAAAGGGTGCAGCATCAAAAATTATAGTATTCAGTATTTTATCTTTAAATTTTTATACAGCTTATTAAATTACTAACTTTTCATGTAAATTTGTTATACTCTCACATTTAATGTGAGAAAATCTCTTAGAAGCCCAAAACAGTGCTTTGAACAGAGTAGGTACCCAGTAATTACTAACCAGTAGACTATCAATTATGAAGATAATCTTTGTGAAATTTATTAAGTATATTTTAAATCTGTGATCAGTCTATCAATTTCTTCTGTAGCAACAGTAATTGTGTTAAGAAAATTACCCAAGTGAAATAAAACTAAGTTGAGACATTCACATAATAAGCTGTTTATTAGCATGACCTATTTAATATATGAGATTATTGGGCTTTGTACTTTGTTTCCCAACACTTTTATAGTAACTTACCAATTTGGCTGATGAGTTGCCTGAACTGATCAAGATAGCTCTGTCCCTCTGGTGTTATTCCAAGTTTTCTGATGCCTCGATTGAATTTTTCTGCTCTATCAAAAGGATACTAGAGAGATAATTTTAAGACTACCTTTAGATCCCTAAACCATAAAATGCCTACTAAATCAATCACGGCAATAAACTTTCCTGTCTAATTTTATATCTCATCATGCCTTCAAAAAGATACCACTCAAGTCTAATGACATAAAAGTTGTGTGAAAAGAAAAAAAAAAAAACAGAACTACTAACATTCAGGTTTTTTTTTTTCTTTTTGGTATTAAAGGTATGCCACTAAATAAGTTTTACATCACAAAGTACTAGTGTCCTAACACCCCAAAACTCTTATCAGATTGACAAAAAACCTTATTCATCCTAGAAACATTTGTTTCTAGATGTGTCAAGTTTCTGTGGGCTAAATAGGTATCTGATATTTATGAACATTCTTTTCCAATGAAAACACATCAGGTGGCTTAAAATTTCAAGGTGCCATCAATAATAAAACAACTTTTTAAAGTTAGAGACATATGTGTTAGAAAGCTACCCTTAGCACCATTTATAAAAATGAAAAATGAGGGGGAAAAGATTCATCAATATAAAATTAAGTAAGTTATTATCTCTATACTACCAACTATTAAAAATAATTAGATCTATAGGTACTGATATTTTATGAGTATACTGCAGAAGAATGTGTATAACATCACTCCATTTTTGCTATAAAAAATAAAGATGTATAAATGTGTGTAATTATATGTGTCTACTGTGAAGATATTGTGAAGGGTATAACACAGCACTGCTAACAGCCACTGTCTCCAGAAAATGGAATTGAGAAGAAGAAAATGAGGGAGGATAGTATATACACTTTACATGGCTTAAATGTTTCAAAATTATGTTTTTATATTATTTTAAAATTTTACAAAAGTAAACCTGGCTACATTGATTATTTTATTTTTCCTTATGCTTAAGCACACAGAGAATGCAAAGATTAGGAAATTATAAGGGAAAAGACAAAGGAACTTGGAGGTCAGATATAGATAACATGTGAAAAATTAATAAAGAAAGAAAAACCCCACAGAAATCTAAATAATGTATTGTAGCATAAACATTAACCATATATGGCACACAGCTGAATCAAAGTACCTAATAGCAAATATGTAGCATACCTTATGATCATTTTGGTCCTTGATTTCCCTGAAAAACCGAATATCTTTAATCAATCTGGACTTGATATGTTCATCATACATAAACTGGCTAAATATATAGAACTTCTTTTTCAAAAATTGGTAAGTGAAATTAACCTATAAAATTAAAATTTAAAAAAAGTTAAATTAAAAAATTAATTTCATGTCAATATAAAAGTACTATTTTAAAATTCAACTTATTTTGGACCTGAAATATTTAAATAATGAAGCTTTTTATTGCCTAAGTTTATAGAACTTTCTACAGGCTTCTCATATTTTTACTAAAAAAGGAGAAAAAAGTGTACAATATTCTCATGACAGGATTAAAAGCAGTAATGGGAAACACAAAACCAGACTGAAGCCCCTAGCTTTTAAGTCATACACCAGTAAGAAGTTCCTATGTTGATCCATCATTAAGATTACCTATTACTAATATGCATAGCTAGAATGAAACTGAAGTAAGAAACATGATGCTCCTTGAACATTCCTCAAGGACGATATTAAACATTTAATTATCTGTAACCATTTTTTAATGCCTTTTATACACAAAGCAATATGCTATTCTCATGCTAGATGCAGTCCTTGTCCTCATGAGGTTATATTCTAGCAGGAGTGACAGATGTTTTAAACAAGTACTGTTCAATAAGTTGTTATATTTCAACTGCAATAATTTCTAAAAATGAGAAGTATGAGTGCTTTGAGAATGAATAACAAAAGGCCTGAAGTAGATTCAGAATCCTCTGACAAAGTGAAAGTTGAGCTGGGATTGAACTAAAATAACATAACATTAATTCTAACCTACAAATGGAAGCCCCATACTCATTTCCATTCCCATGACTCTCAGATACAACAAATGGTTTGGACAAATTTAAGCCCTTTTTACTGAATCTTCATTTACCCAGTTATAGAAATGGGTCCTTCCTCTAAACTTACATTGTGGCTTAAACTTTGTACTCTCCCTGCTCTGTGTCTGTTTCTTTGCTTTTTATCTCCTTTGTGGTCTTTTCTTTGTCCTTCTACTCTTCATAGTAACTCTGCCACTCTGATTCTCACTTTCCTCTGCTCACTTTATCATCACACATCAGTAACCTACATTCATTAGTAAGATTAACTGATTTTCAATATTCCTCTACTAGGAAATGTCTGTTTTTCTCACCCTAGTGCCAGAGGCACATAAAATACACTGGTAATACTTGTTACATGAATGAGTCTGTGGTAGATGATAGAAGGTAAGGAAGAGTTTATCCTCAAAAGTTCATTTATCATGAAAGGTTTCAGACATGATTTCTACATGGATGATTCCTTATTTTAAATTTAAAACTCTGACTATACAGATCTCATTTCTGTACTGGTAACCATTAAAATAGAGCCTCAATCACACTCATCGGCTCTAAAACTTCAAAGCATTCCCTACTATATACTAAAATGATCCCAACTTAACTTTCCAATCTTCTTCCTATTCCCTCACTCCAAAGATATTTAATATTTTACTACTTAAGCATTCACAATTTTTTCCTCTTCAGGAGAAATTATGCTAAAAGTGAGGTAAATTCAAAGATCTCTTTCTTCAGAAAGGGAAAAACAGCACGCACATTTAAAAGATTTCCTCAAGTGAATGAATGTCTATTTCTAAGAGTAAAATATTTTTAGTAAATTCACAATTATATGGATATTAAATAATTAGTAGCCCCTCCCCCTAAAGGATATAAATGACCTTAAACTACTATCAGTGATTAATTTTTTAATTAACTTCCAGAGAATATCAGAATCAACATACATATGGACGTCCTCAAAACTACAATGCTATTTATAATGATGATGCTGTGATGTCTGTTAAGGAGCCTTTTATAAGCAAAACTCCCATCACATCGAATACAATTTTAGTGCCAAATATTTTTAATTATACTACCAGAAAAAAAATGGAAATTCAGCTATAATATCAACAAGTATTAATGCATATTTGCCAGAATATTCTATAAGAAAATTATCTTCCAACCTATTAAATTAAGCAGGGGTCTAAGTACCTACCCACCCACCCCTGTCCCCCACCAAAAGTGCACTTACTGTGGTATTCATGATTCCTGTGCCATGTGTTCGAATTGAATTAGCAATATGCCGAATATTAATAGTATTCAAATGTTTGTTATTGCTTGTTCGTTCAATAAAAATCTACAATGAAACAAATTTAATCAGTTATCCAAAGAAAATTTTAGAATTGGTTTCGTTAATTTAACTGGGAAGCCATTCAAGAAGATAGTACAACCAAGTAGCATCAAAGCAATAAACAAGATCTCTAAACATTCATTTTGTTTTGAATATTTTACTAATTTTTGGCCTTGAGAATCAATTCCTTGTGCCTTGTGCCACTTAAATAACCACTCACATTTTAAAAAAAAATTCTTAAACCTACTTACCTGATTGTTGAGATTATAGAGGTATCGAGACACAAATATATGAATGTTTCTCATGATTTCCAAAACATCAAGGCCCTACAACATAATCCACATAAGTTCTATAATTATAAATTTAAATAATCAAAATTATATCAATACAGTGACACTGATTATATTAAGCTTCCCAATATTTTGAAACTATTTTAAGAAACTACATAAAAAGTATGACCAAAGGTACAAGAGCCTTCTGACATATATAATCAGAACTACCTCTTTAAGAAAGCCTTGTTGATTATGATTTTACCTCTTCTTTGTGAACAGAAGTTCAAATAATCAAAGATGATGACCCACCATCATTTCCCCACCATCCTTGAAAATACCTATTTGTCTTTCCAAGGATATTTTTTATATAAACTAATGAACAGATTCTAAATGGTATTCACAGGATATACTATGTTTGTAAAACGCATACCATGTTTCAGCTACTATGCAAGGTTCTTTTACAAAGGATTATTCTAAATTCCACAGGTAAAGAAAATGAAGCTAAGGAAGTTCTCTAGGGTCACAAGTCACGAAGAGCCAGAACCCTGGGATTTAAGAAAGCCTAACTCCAAATTTTTATGTACAATAGACACCTTGTAATGCACAAGTTCTCTACTGAGATTCCTTCATTCTTCAGACACAGTATTACTCTATACACCCAATGGTATACCATCTACATTTTTCTATGCTTTTCTAATTGTGGCTTAAAGTAGCATTACAATACCTCTAGTTTCAGTTATAGTTTTTTATTGTGTTCTAATCTAAAAATTTGTTCACACCTTTTTACTCTACACCAAATGCTGCTTTGCACTCATTTTAAGGGCAAATACATTCATAATTCTATAAAATTAACCACTTTCCTAAGATACTAATGCCTAAGTTTAAAATCCTTAAATATGACCCTGAGTAAACTATTTACAATTCTGCTGAACTTGCAATTCTGCTGAAGTCACCTAGTATGTTTGTGAAATCTATATACATCACCAACACTCAACAGAAATCTGTGTGCACCCAGGAAGCCGCTAGTAAATTCTTTCATAAAGTCAATTAGTGGCATCTAATTTCTCACTCTTCTCACGTATGAGGTTTTATATACAAAATATTTTCTTAAAAAAAAAAAAAAACACACACACACATAGTAAAAAGTAAAAAGAAAAGACTTCCTAAAGAAATATTGTTATATTACAGTCAGATTATGTTAGGAGTACATTATACACACCTGTTCCAAAGTCTGACTAGGAAGATGTGCCTCTGTCATAACCAATCCATAACGTTGAGTAGCTAAATTTCTCATTTCACTGTACGTGGCCCAATCATGAAGGGCTACTGTTGTGAGATTGTAGAAAGTCTTGTCTAGGTAGTGAGTTACATAAGCTACCAGAAAAAAACAAATTCCAAACAATTTTTGAATCATAAAAACAGCAGAAAAGGAACTAGAAAGGAAAAAAAAAAATACTTGTCTTTGAATATTATATTTCTTCCTTTAAGATAAGGTGCTAGGAAATAAACACAAAGGAGTTACAGAATAAATTAGCACATACCAAAAATAATACCCTCAAGGTTTTATTTCTTCTTTCATACTTTATTAAAGAGATATAGGATATGAATTAAGAAGGAAAAAAAACTCACCTCGAATGTCAATGAAGCGATTGAAAAACCTAATTGGATTTAGAGAGAAAAAAAGAGCCAGGTCTTTCATGCCAACTTTGAAAGGGTTCCGGTCATCCAGCTTTAAATGAGTATGCACAGAAAGTCTCAGATCCTTCTCTATTTCTTTGCACAACTTGTCCAACAAATGCTGTTCAGAGATGAATTGACAGTTTAATTTTTCAAAATGATATCCCAATTGTATTGTTTCTCTATATGACTATGCTTTGAGAGTTTATAATCAGTGCATTGAAGAAAAAAATTATCAAACTAGTTTTGTTTAGGATTCTAAATACATCATGATAATTTTTTTTAAATTGGAAAATGGAAAATTATTTTGTTCATTTTATACCAATAATTTTAGAGGGAGAGAGCCAGGGAGAAATTATCTAATTGTCAAACCTTTATTTTCATTAATATTTTAAATTTCGCTAAAAAGAAAACCAAAAAAGCAATAGCTTCACAATAAGGAACATGAAATGTAATATAAGCATAAAATTTATGGGAACAGCAACAAAGGAGGAAAAACCCCACAAATATGCAAGTGAGGAAAGAAAAGAAATCTTTCTGATCTACCACAGAGTTCTAAATACTGGACATGTATTTCATTTTCTAAATAAAAATATTTATGGGTTGGGGATATAGATCAGTAGGAGACACCTGCCTGCCTAGTATATGCAAGGCCCTGGGTTTGAAGGAAGAAAAAAAGAAAGGAAAGTAGGAAAGGAGGGAGGGAGGGAGAAAAAGATGAGGAAGGAAGACATGGAGAGGAAGGAAGGAAAAAAGGGAGGGAGGGAAAAAGAAAGTATATTTTTTAATACAAAAAATTACATAAAATTTTCCTAATTTCATCAAACCCACATAGGTTTACACTGTAAAGTTGACTCATTTTAGTTCTTCCCTCCAAATAAAACATCACTAGATGGAAATTTGATTTTAAAGGTATCAGTGTTTATTATAAACACTAAAACAGGAAACACTATATATTGCAGTCAAATTGTTATGCAAGTCTTTTAAATAATTCTCTCCTCTAAGATACTCTTCATATGAAATTCAATAAAATATTAATAGTAAAATTGCCTTAACTGTACTATCAGCAGCATTCAACATTCAAACACATTTTATGTATACATTCTTCTAATTAATACAAATTTAAATTCGAACACACTGTTTGCTAAATTTAAAATTTCCAAATTCCTAGTCTGATTTCTAAAATGATTATGAATTACAGATTATTTAGCATAATAGTGATATTATAACTAAAAACAGTTCCTTTGCTCTACACAATGATTTATAAAGAGTAATTTTTGACTCAATGGAAGTCTGCTTCAATTCAAAACTTTTTTTCAAACACTGCATTCCAAAACATTATTTAATCCTTTTCAATCTCAAATATGGTCTTACCTCATTTAAAATTTCCATAATTTCCTTGTCATAGCAATCCAGGAGAATCTCATGGGACTCTAAATGCCTTGCATGCATCATAGCCGGCACACAGTCTCGTAAAGCACTGAACATGTACTAACGGAAACAAATTTTAAAGTACGAATTTAGAAAAAAACATGAGCTATAAACAATATTACAAAGGCTATTTATCTGACATCAAGAAAGATAAAACCTTGATCTGAAGAAAATATGATTTTTCTACAACTATCTTACTTTCCTAAATAAAGTATGTAATTTAACTAAATACATAAAATTTTATATTGACATCCTTTCCTATCTTGTACTCTAAAACTGCTTTATTTCCATAAACAAAAATGATGAATAACATGTGGTTTGCTGATGAGTAATGTCAGACTACTAATACCAATTAAAATCAAGTGAAATGAGAATGATCAGGAATAAATGAGGAGAAGTTAAATATATTAAAATTAACTTCATTCATATTAACATAAAATTAAACCACAGAAACATTTAGTGGATATTCATAATATTGTTCAAAACAGTATTAGAGGTCAATTTTAAAATAGTTTATTAAATCAGATATCCTATTTTAAAACTTAAAGTGAATAAAATATGATGAGTTAATTCTTTATTATTCTTTACTTACATGTAATCTAGCTGCATCAACGGCATTTTCATATACATCATCTAAATAAATTGGGAAGACTGCTCGATGCCAGTATAAAAAACAACAGTCACACTGTATCTGAACCCTACAATATAAGTATTATAGTAATTAGTGGTATCAAAACAAAAGTTTCCCAAAATAACATAAAAGAATGACTTTATATACTATTAGGGCAAGAGACCTGTCATTCATTTTACATTCCCTACATGACTTCACCCAACGTTAGTTTAGAAAAATCACAAAAAAATTATTTTTCAAATTGAGCTAAGATTTTAATAAAATTCTCCAATACCTGACACTGACAGAATTTTGCATATATGCAGAATTAGATTCTCAAAAAAATAGAAGAAAAAAAAATTATCAAACTATAATAGGTGACTTTTAAAGAAGAGTGTAAAATAAATTTATTTTCAATATTATTTAATATGACTATTGCATAACATGTACCATTTTACCTGTTTCCAAGTTGGAAAGTAAAACTTAAAAAACTGTAATGCAAAAAGTCCAGTCACACATAACCTGTTCATAGTCTCTGTAACCAAATGACTATTTCACACCTTATAAAGTAACAAAATGATCATTAAATATTTTATAATGAAGGTTTAATATTTCTTCCAAAGATGGAAAACTAAATGCAACTACAAATATATGTTCAGCTCAGAATTAAAAAAATATATATTATGAGCATTAAAGATATTATTGTGCTGTAACATAATTCAGCTGGAAGTCAAAATTTGTAAGGCTCATTTTCCCTTCAGGAAGCTTACTGTTTACTCAACAAAAAGTAAACAATAAAGTCACAAGTAGCTGCAAAAATGTGACTGGCTACTGACATTGTAATTAAAATTTCTACCTCAAAATAAAATCATAGGACACTATGAGTCAAAGATCTCTAAGTTTCTCACAAATTGATGAAGCCTTACAATAAAGCAGCAATTTTGAAAGCCCAGTAAGTGATAATCAGCATAATAATCACAACATGCACAAGAATCTGCCTAAGGCTATGAGTGCACGCTTTTCTAGAAGCCGCATGCTTCATGGAGAAGAAAAGCTAAATGAATATGATCCCTAGTCACAGTCTCACTTTGGTCATGCCAAAGAAATTAAAGAGGACTAATGCTCAATCTGAATTTTACTCCTCTTTATGCTAAAAAAGAAAACTGATGCTCCAAATAGCCCTATTTTTTGAGTATTATTATATTCACCAGTCCTGCTTACCGTTCTCTAAGTTCACTGATAAGATCCAGTTTTTTCATGACTACTTGAAGTGGAAAGAGTTCTTCATCTTTGAATGTTTTCTATCAGGAAGTAGGGAAAAGACAGAGAAGTTACAGTCAAAGTCAAGGCAGGTTTCTTGGATCAATAACAAAGAAACTGTGAAATTTCAGACCTTATATTTATTCCATAAATAATAGAAATACATTTACCATTTGTGTGCCAACACTTAGTGCCAAAGAAACGATAAGTCGCCGTTGCTTTGTGCTTGGTCCATTTAGAGTATTTTCAGCCAAAACTAGAGCAGAGAGCACATCAAGACGCTGTTCGCTGTATTTTTTGTCAGAAATTACTCTTTTCTTTAAGACAAAACAGAAAACTATTAATTTTGCTCCTGGGATAATGACCAAAGCTTCAGAAGAAAAACTTCTCTTTATCTCTTCCACAATTCAGTTTAAGAAAACATAAATAACACCTTTCCCCCTGAGCTTGTCATATAATGTTTTGTACTTTCCTTCTGTAACTTTGTCTTAGCACTGATGGGAATAGCAAATGTATTGGGCATACTTTAAATTTTCCATATATATTTAACAAGAAATCACTTCTAAAAACCCTTGAATTTCCATACTAATAAGAAATCACTTCTTTAAAAAAATGATACATCAATTTCAAAAGTACATACAATATCAGTTTTAGTAGAAGTATATTACAGTAGTATTACATGCTGCAATTTCAGAGTAGATAACAATGATCCTAAATAAAAATCATAAAACACCATGGATATAAATGACCAAGATGTTATGTTCAAAGGAATGGAATAAATAGGCTAAGCTAGAAAACACATAAAACAGCAGGACAAAAAAAAAGTAACACAATTATGCTGAATATATAATAATTTGCATACCTTGGCTACAGAAATAGAATTAAGAGCCTGGTGTTGAAGGTGCTGTGTTATATGTGCAACTGAATCAGCCACAACCATGCTTCTTCTGTAGAACATATGCTCTATTGCCTTAAAAATCAAAAGTAATTTTGTTAAGATCAACTTAAAACTTTCAAGCAAAATTAAAGACTATCTTTATGACCTCAGGCAAGAGAAGGAATTTGTAAATGAGATACAAAAATAACACCATGAAAGACTGGAAAATTCTTCTGTATTAAAATTAAGAACTCTCTTTGTCAAAAGCCATCATTACCAAGCAGCTCGGGAGATTAAGGCAGGACGATCACAGTTCAAAACCAGCAACAGCAAAATGCTAAGCAACTCGGTGAGTCTCTGTCTCTAAATAAAATACAAAATAGGGCTGAGGAAGTGGCTCAGTGGTTGAGGGCCCCTGAGTTCAATCTCGGAACACCCCATCACCAAAAAAAAAAAAAGCTATTATTAAAGAAATAAAAAAAAATAAGCCAAAGTATGAAAAGAGAATCTCCCAAGTACAAGAAATTAGTATTCAGTGTATGTACAGACTCCAAAAGAATGATTTTTTTTAAAGGCATACAATCCAATTGAAAACTGAACAAAACACAAGAACACATCTTTCTCAAAAGAAACACAGTTAATAAATCATTGAATAAATATTCAGCATCACTAACAAATAGGGGTTGAACATAAAAAAGTCATGACCAAAGCCAATTATACCCACTAATTTATAAAAGAAACAAAAATACCTGAAACCTGATAATACAGGTTAAGTATCCCTATATTAAAAATCAGAAATTTGAAATGATCCAATATCAAAACTTTTTGGGCACTAACATAACACGGCAAATGGAAAATTCCACACCTGATCTCATGTGAAGGAGTCATGGTCAAAGCAAGGGCATGAAAAAAAAAAAAAAACAAAACATCGTATGAAGTTATCTCCTGGATATTTGTATGAGGTATATATGAAACTCTTAGAGAATTTTATGTTTGGATTTGGATCTCATTCCTAGGATACCTCACTGCACATATGCAAATATTCTAAAAACAAAAACAAAACTGAGATCCTAAACATGTCTGGTCCCAAACATTTCAGATGCTATTCAACCTACACAAGGGCTGGCCAGCTAGAGAACAAGAGGAAGTCTAATATATATGGGAGGTCTATAAAATGACATAATTATTTGGGAAAACAATTTGTCTTCATCCTATAACTTGAATACACACATAGCTTACAATCCAGCAACGAACCCATAGGTATATATTACATTAGAAAAACTCTTCCACGGGTACACCAAGAAACACAAGAATGGCAGCACTGTTTATAATAGCAATAACTGGAAACCACTCTCAATTCCATCCTCAAGCAAGCCACCAGCAATGGAAAGCAACATAATACAGCTACTAATCCCAACATATTCCAATACAAAATGATGAGTAAAAAAGACAAAAGGAATATATATAAAGTATTACTCCATCAACATAAACTCTACAGCCAAATGTAACTATGAGTGGTTCATGGATTCAGCTAAAAAGATAAATAAGGGAATAAGCCTAAAATTTCAGAACACTGATTTCCTCTGAGGAGCCTGGTTGAGATCCAATCCAAAAGGGACACCCAGGAGGCTTTGAAATCACTGGTAACACTCTATTTCTTCAGTGGGATACTATTTGTTCTTTTTAAAACTATACTGAAATATTATATATACTCACATCCATATTTATATTTCATTTAAAAAAAATATTTCTTAAAAAAAGAAAACCCTGAAAATCCAAAGGCACAATATCAAAAAAAAAAAAAAGAAAATATTTCCTAAACAAATCTAATGTCCATTGTTAGCAGATATTTACCAGTAAATCTTAAATTTTTATATAAGATAAATTGGGCTCTCCTGCTTGAAAGTTTTATTTTTTATTTACACTATATGCTAAGAAACATTTTATATTTCCACAAGTACTATAATTTTGAATTCATATGACCACCTCTGTAAGTAGCCTACTGTTCAAATCACAAGATTATAAGCACTTTTTCTAAATATCAAAAAATCTTCCTATTAACTAATTTCATATGCATGTGAACATTATAAAATAATGGATATAAAAATAAAAAATAACATAATGGATGTTGTGGTTTTTTAACATCACTTAACATGCTTTTAAATTTTTAAAAACCACTTTTAAAATTTCCATAAATAAAACTGAACTAATAATACTAAAACCTTACTATTTCCTTTCTCACTACCTTAACCTTCAATAAAGTTTAACTATATAAGCAGTCTTCAACCTTCAATTTTTCTACTTTATAATGGTATGTTATATGTTTCTACTTTATAATGGTATAAAGCCTATGTTCTGTTTTTCCCTTTCTATTCAATAAATCACATGAGATGAATTCAGCACTTTATTATAAAAATAGGCTTTGAATTAGATGATTTTGCCCATCTGCATCCTGGGTATATTAAGGCGGACTACACTAAGTTATGAGGTTAACAGTACATAACTCCATCATAAGTCAAGAAGCATCTGTAATGAACATTCGCAATATTTAGAAATTTCGTTTGAGAGGCAAGTACACTTTTTCACAAGTTTTTGTTCTCATGTAAACAAAAAGTCAAATGTTACAAGATCATTCTAATTTAAGACTGGGTCATTTGAGAAACATGATGGCAAGGTAACATAACCCAAGACCTACCTTCAGAAGTTCAACAAGCCTGCATAATGCCTTAACTGAGGTTTTGGTCATTGGCTTTTGCATGGACATGTAGAGATTCATCGTGGTTTTAATAATAGTACTAATACTATATGCATATAAGAAGCCCTGTAAAAGAAAATAAAACACTGAGTATAATCATAAGAAAAGATTTCCTTTCTTCAAGACTTAATTCTCTATGTTAATAGTAGTTAGTCCCCAACTTGCCAATAATTAGTGTTTTCAAGTTCCTTTTAAAGCCAGTCTTAAAATTTTGAAATAATCTTGCTTTCAGGGACAATTTAAGCTTAAAGCAGCCCTTAAAGTTTAGACTACCACAAAAAACAGAATATTAGTACCATTGAAATTATAGAATATAATCAGTTTTTAAATATTTCCATTAAAAAAAAAAACTTCAGAGAAATGGTTTGGATGTCAGGGAGGTTTCTACTCTTCCTCATCTTACCTGCCAGGGAAGAGAACAGACTCCTATCTGTTGCCACTTAGGGCAAGAACTGAGGACTCTAAAGACCTAGGAATTGGAAAAGAAGAGAGCTGCTTTCTGATCAAAGCAGACACACAAGGAAATCTCTGAGTTCCAAGTCACTTCCACCTTTCCTCTTTTCCTAGACCAGTCCACACAGTCCATCTGCTATCCTGTCTCTGATAATCAGGCCTTTTCTCCTTTTAGCTCACTGAGAACAGATTGCCTCCTCCCCTTCAATTCATGAAGGAAGCACAGGTTTAAAAACATTTTTAACACTATTAAATTCAGGGAAAGAATGAATAAGAAAACAGGAAAAGGGGACGTTAACTCTCAATTTTTTTTTTTTCTTTGTACCAGAGATTGAGCCCAGGGCACTTAGTCTATAAGCCACATCCCCAGCCCTTTTTATTTTTTACTTTGAGACAGGGTCTCACTAAATTGCTGAGGCTGACCTTGAACTTGCAATCCTCCTGCCTCAGCCTCCCAAGTAGCTGGGATTATAGTATGCGCTTCCACACCCAGCTCAAATATATTTTCCTTTAAACCCAAAAGAGACACACAGAAATGCAAAGATAATGATAGCAATTCTCTGGGCTTCTACAGGTCCCCAAAATATACATTTATATTTCAAAGATGAACCAACTATGTAATTGTGGACACAGGCAAGAAGGTGAGACAGGATCTACACCAGTGTTTGTCAACCTTTTTCTCCTGCCCCACCACACATGAGAAAGTTCTCTCACAGAAGTAACCATGGCTCTGCTAAAGGAATGATACTCAACACAGAGTAGAAGTGGGAGTTTCTCTGAACCACTACTCACCTGTGGTGAAGAAACATGCTTAAGTATGAGAATGAGGAAATGAAAGAGAAAGAAAAGTGGCAGTAAGACCAAAGCATGGGATATACTTCAAGAAGGAGCTGCAAGTCTTACCTTGTCAGCTACAGACCATCACATCAACCCTGCCCTAATGCCATGCCGGAAAAAGTTACAAAGCAGAAACAGAAGAACAGGGAAGGTATCTACTCATCATTATCTTACCTGCCAGGGAAGAGACAGACTCCATTCTGCTGCCACACTATGGCAGGCAGAAAAAAGGATTCCTTTTTTTCCCCCAATTGGGGGCTTGAAGTACAGAACACCTGGGCCCATTCCACCCGCTTCATCACTAATCTGTGAACTGGCTACACATGAAGGATGTACTTTAAAATCTAAATGGGGACAGGGGAGTCTGGGACCTTACTATTAATGACAGAATGAATAATATGAACCACCTTTCCCATTGAGAACTAGAAAAGGTGAGCAAAACAGTTCTGAAATCTCTCAGAAGGCATGAAAGAGCTAGAAAAAAAGTAAGAAAACAGGAGGCCAAGATCTAAGAGAAGACAGAAACCCAGAGAAGGGAGCCAGTATTTGGGGTTGCCTTCTCTTAGAATATCTACCTTAGAGGATTCTGTTAAAGACAAAAGCAAAGTACATCTTTCAACAATGTCTCCAGGGAAGAGGATAAAAAACAGGAGTTCACAGCCCATCAAGGAGGGGAGAAAGTTCTGAGAAACCATCCAGGCTCTGTTTGGGGACCCTGAAAAGATGGATTACCTGCCCCCTCCCCCAATTAAGGGTGAACTGGAACAAAACTAGCCATCAGAAGTTTGAAGTCCTTCAAATCATCTCAATCCATGACTGGATTGATGTGATCCAGGCTGCCAACTGTCCTAGACTGATTGTGGTAGACTGGGTTCCCAATCTATCCTAAACAGCAGATTAGATATAGAGAATAAGAATAGAAAAAGAAAAGAACAGAAGCAGTACTGAGGCATGACTGAGAATTTCCCACAAATTCAAGAAACTACAAATTCCAAACAGCACGTACACAAACACTTAGGAGCATCACAGTAATACTGCCAAAATCCAAAACCTAAATCTTACAGGTAATTAAACAAAGAAGTCTTAAAAAAAAAAAAAAAAGATTTAAAATCAGCAGCTAACTTTAACAAAAACAAAGCATGCCAGAAAACAATGACATCTTTAAACCTAGATGAAAAAAACCAGCCAACCCAGAATTCTAACACAGCAAAACTACTGAAATGAAGACATACGCAGATCCAAAACTATGCCAATTCATCAAAAAAAAAAAAAAAAAAAATGCATATTAAATGAATTACTAGCACGTATTCCACACAAGGATGAAAATAAACAGAAAGTATAGGGCAGTGTGAATCCAGATGAACACTGACTATAAAAATAACAAAATATAAGCAAAAATAATGCTTATATTTAAAATATACAAAGAATCAAAGTTACCAATAGCAATACAAAATGTGAGAGGGAAATAAACAGAATTAAAGTGCTTTAAAACCATTACATTATCTGGAAAGTGGTAAAACTACTAAGTTATATGAGAGCTGAGTGAGAAAACAATGCATCTTTAAATCTCCAGAGTAATCTCAAAAAGAACAGTAAAATACAGAATAACAAGCTATTAGAAAAATGAGAAATAAAATGATAAGAATAATCCACAAGGAAGGAAAAGGGATATAGAACAAAAGTAGACAAATAGAAAGCAACTAGTTAAGTGATAGTTTTAAAAAAATATACATCAAGGAACCCTAAAGAGAGAAATAGAAGAAGATCTTAGAAGATGGAAAAATATACCCTGTTCATGGATAGGCAGAACTAACATCATCAAAATGGCGATATTACCAAAAGTTCTCTATAGGTTTAATGCAATGCCAATCAAAATCCCAACGGCATTTCTTGTAGAAATAGAGAAAGCAATCATGAAATTCATATGGAAAAATAAAAGACCCAGAATAGCAAAAACAATGCTAAGCAGGAAGTGTGAATCAGGCGGTATAGCGATACCAGACTTCAAACTATACTACAGAGCAATAGTAACAAAAACAGCATGGTACTGGTACCAAAACAGGCGGGTGGACCAATGGTACAGAATAGAGGACACAGAAACCAATCCACAAAACTACAACTATCTTATATTTGATAAAGGGGCTAAAAGCATGCAATGGAGGAAGGATAGCATCTTCAACAAATGGTGCTGGGAAAACTGGAAATCCATATGCAACAAAATGAAACTGAATCCCTTTCTCTCGCCATGCACAAAAGTGAATTCAAAATGGATCAAGGAGCTTGATATCAAATCAGAGACGCGCCGTCTGATAGAAGAAAAAGTTGGCTACGATCTACAGTCGGTGGGGTCGGGCTCCAAATTCCTCAATAGGACACCCATAGCACAAAAGTTAATAACTAGAATCAACAAATGGGACTTACTCAAACTAAAAAGTTTTTTCTCAGCAAAAGAAACAATAAGAGAGGTAAATAGGGAGCCTACACCCTGGGAACAAATCTTTACTCCTCACACTTCAGATAGAGCCCTAATATCCAGAGTATACAAAGAACTCAAAAAATTAGACAATAAGAGAACAAACAACCCAATCAACAAATGGGCCAAGGACCTGAACAGACACTTCTCAGAGGAGGACATACAGTCAATCAACAAGTACATGAAAAAATGCTCAACATCTCTAGCTGTCAGAGAAATGCAAATCAAAACCACCCTAAGATACCATCTCACTCCAGTAAGATTGGCAGCCATTAGGAAGTCAAACAACAACAAGTGCTGGCGAGGATGTGGGGAAAAGGGTACACTTGTACATTGCTGGTGGGACTACAGATTGGTGCAGCCAATTTGGAAAGCAGTATGGAGATTTCTTGGAAAGCTGGGAATGGAGCCACCATTTGACCCAGCTATTCCCCTTCTTGGTCTATTCCCTAAAGACCTAAAAAGAGCATGCTACAGGGACACTGCTACATCGATGTTCATAGCAGCACAGTTCACAATAGCAAGACTGTGGAACCAACCTAGATGCCCTTCAATAGACGAATGGATAAAAAAAATGTGGCATTTATACACAATGGAGTATTACTCTGCATTAAAAAATGACAAAATCATAGAATTTACAGGGAAATGGATGGCATTAGAGCAGATTATGCTAAGTGAAGCTAGCCAATCCCTAAAAAACAAATACCAAATGTCTTCTTTGATATAAGGAGAGTAACTAAGAACAGTGTAGGGACGAAGAGCAGGAGAAGAAGATTAACATTTAACAGGGATGAGAGGTGGGAGGGAAAGGGGGAGAGAAGGGAAATTGCATGGTAATGGAAGGAGACCCTCAGGGTTATACAGTGGAGGAGGTAGAGAGAGAGGAGGGGAGGGGAGGGGAGGGGAGAGGTGGGGAGGGGGGAGGGTGGAGGATGGGAAAGGCAGCGGAGCACAACAGACACTAGTATGGCAATTTGTAAATCAATGGATGTGTAACTGATGTGATTCTGCAATCTGTGTATGGGGTGAAGGTGGGAGTTCATAACCCACTTGAATCAAAGTGTGGAATATGATATGTCAAGAAATTTGTAATGTTTTGAACAACCCACAATAAAAAATTAAAAAATATATATATATATACATCAAGGGCTGGGGCTGTAGCTCAGTGGTAGAGCACTTGCATGGCATGTGTAAAGCACTGGATTCAATCCTCAGCACCACATAAAAATAAATAAATAAAAATAAAGGTATTCTCTTCCATCTACAACTAAAAATTATTTTTTTAAAATGTATATACATCAATAGTTACATACATTTTTTAAAAAAAGCTCAATGAAAAACAAAGATTATCAGATTGGGGAAAAAATGTTACTTACAGGAGACACACACAGGGAGCCAAAAGGCTCTAAGTATAAATATCAAGAAAGATATACCATGAAGATATTAACTAACAGAAAACTGGCACAGCTATGTTAATATCACACAAAAGAGACCTAAGACAAAAAGCATTACTAAAGATAAACAAGTATTTTTTTCAAGGGGCAGGGGTGCTAGGGATCTAACCCAGAGCCTCACACATGCTAAGCACATGCCCTACCACTGAGCTACATCCCCAGCCCACAAACACACAATTCGTAATGATAAAAAGTCCAGTTCTACAAGATATAACAATTCTAAACTTAATACATAATCTACATAATCTCAAATCATATGAAACAAAAATTGACAGAACTACAAAACTAAATAGACAAATGCACAATAGTAGGAGATTCTGACCCAACTCTCTCAATAACAAATAGAATACACAGAAAAAATCATTTATAAAAGTAAGCCTCTTGTCATATACATAACACTGCAACTGACAAATGTAAATTTTACATTCTTTCCAAGTACACATAAAATGTTTACGAATGCTGAGCCAAGACTAGGACTTTATAAATTTCAAAACAAATAATTTGAATATTGCTTCAAATCAGTAATAAAAAGATAACTAAGAAATTAACTTGTAAATTAAGAAACATCATTTAAAAACCCACAGATTTAAGTCACAATTAAAATTTTAAAATATTTTAAACTGATAATGAAAATACAACATTAAAATTTATGAGATGCAGTTAAAAAAAGTCATGCTTTAAAGGGAATGCATAGCTTTGGGTTAGGAAATCCAAATTAATAAGGCACATTTATCCAAAAATAACCAAAAGAATTTTTTAACACAAAAACATACCCTTATCCTTTCCCAGTTTTTTCCAATTGTAACTTCTATAAATTAAATTAACAAAGAAATTACCCCCAAAAATATTCCAAAAAAGAAGACGTAACTACCTGTATAAAAATATTACATCTATTGGTGAGGTCTTCGGCAAATTTATCCATTCTCTGCTCTTTAGATAAAATAGATTCCATTTTCATCATCCATGAGCTCACAAAGACGTAGTAAGACTGTACATCTCTAACAAAGGAAAATATTGGGGTTACTAAGCACAGGAAAGAAATTGAGTTCGATTTTTATCATGTTGGTCAAAATAAAATTTTTCCTTACAGCAGCCATTCAAAAGACAGATATCATAGATATAATTTACTTACTCAACAAATATTTCCTGAGTGCCTATACAGGTGAGGCATTCTATATAGTACCGAGAACAAAACAGATGCAAATCCCTTCCTCTGTGAAGCTTATATTCTAGAGTTACATAATCAAGAAATCAATAATTAAAATCTTAAAATAACTCAAAGATGTTAGAGAATACATCCTGTGAGAAAAAAATAAAGCAGAGAAAGGGGCAGGGCCTGGATCAGGGGTACAGTTTTAAATAGAGTGATCAAAGTAGGCTAATTAAGTAGGTGACTTCATGCCAAGATTGAAAAAAATGAATGAGTAATCAAGGCAAAATATATAAGAACAGAATTTAAGGAAAGTAAGTAATAAGCGTAAATGTCCTAAGACATTTGGAAATGTGTCTGGCATGTTTAGTTAATAACAAAAATTTAGTCAGTATGACTAGAGCAGACTAAGCAGGAATGAGAGCAGAAAAGGAGAACAGAGAAGTACAGGGGTAGGGGCTCAAGATGTGGGGAAGAGACTGGAAGTCCTTGTGGAAAGAATGGACTTCAACTCAGTGACATGGGAAGCCACTAGATGATCTGATCAGAGTGACTTGATCTAACTTTACCATGATCAGTATCACTTTTCTGACAAACTATAGAGGGGACAATGGTTTTCTTAGGAAAAGCACCAAGCAAGCTACCGTAATAATGCAAGATAAAGAGAATGACAGCTTGAACCAGAAAGAACAATGGAAGTGGCCAGAATCTCAATTGAAAAGATCACAGTTATTGAATGCTGTCTGCCAGCCACTTTTTTAAGCATTTACAAAAATTTGCTAATTCAGTCTTCACATTGACCTTATGAGTAGATGCTAGATTTCCACCTTACAGAAGAGGAAACTATCACACAGAAGTAATATGCCAAGATCATACAACTAGTAAGCTTCCACACTAATATTCAAGCCCAAATCCAGGAAGCTGTCCCATCCTGAAAACAAACAATAAGGGTAATTCTACTATTCAGAATGATTACAAACAAATCACTCGGCCAATATGTCTAATTCAGATGGGAAATTTTAACTCCTACAAGTTATTTAAATTTTCCTCTCTAAAAAAAAATGTGCAAAAAATGAATAATTCCTTTTTATGTGATCCAACAATACTAATTCTTTTATTAAACCCTTCTTCAGATAGCATAAAGAAATATCTGACTATTGCCAGTCAGAATCACTAACGGAGAGCTCTTTGGGGCAGGAGACTAAAGATACTCACTTGACTAAGGGTAGAATCCCACAGTGAGGTTGGTGGGTAGCCACATTGCCAGGCAAACTGTCAATCTCAAAAACTAAGTCTGAAAAGGGATTACATCAAAATCTGTAATGTGTTTAGGGGTATAAAGCAACCCCTAGCATAAAACTCTGAGAAAAACAATTTCTGCGGTGCCATGATTCCATTAAACAAAAGATACCAATAGTTACAGTTTTGGCTTTGCTTCCAAAGGTGCTGAAATATATTGTTAAACATCTATTTTAAAGTATGGAACAGTGAAAAAACAAGGTCTTAGAGCAGCACTTTCAGTTTTCAGGAGGCACCTAGATGGGTCATGAGCAACAACTCAGGGGGATCTTGAAGGAAGTGGTGAAAGAACTCCCAGTGGGAAGAGCTATGGGGATGATGCATCTGATGGTCCAGGGAGTGTGATAAATGAAGTGTCCCAGGTGAGAATGAGAATAAATGTGGACTTGTAGGCTGGGTAGGATGCTTTGTCTGGTAGTGCAAGGATCGGAAGGAGATGCATTGGAATACTATGAACAGGAGTTCTAGAAAAGAGTCATGTTTAGAAAAGACAAATGTTTAGGGTGAATATAAAGTGTAAGATAATTCCAGTGAAATTCATAAGAGCTGTGCGTTGAAAATGAGTGAGGAATATAAGGAGTTTCATTACATTATGTTGAGTATGTAAAAAACTACTAATTTTGCTGGTCAAAAATGGCAGGATATTGGCAATTTCATATGGGAAAAAAAAAAGTCATAAGCAAGGATCAGAAAAAGAGACTAGACTATGTAGCATTCCCTGATAGCAAGTAGATCAATTATGCATAAAGCATTACAAAAGCAAAAAGCATTCTCAGCCTCAGATCACACTGTCAACAAAGTAGAGGTTTACATCAGTTTTGCCCATCACTCTCACATTCAGAGCCAGATCTTGAAACTGCTTCAAGTTAACAAAAAGTATAAAAATGCCCCAGAGTCTCATCAGATTATCAGCTTCCTTTCAAAGTACAAACAGGAAAAACACTAACAACAACAACAAAAAAAAATTTCCTGTCCCAATAAAAAGCACTAAGCAATGTCAACAACAGTATGTTAACCTGAGAGTGACACAAGGGTTTAGACCTCTATCCCCTAAAGGCAGTTATTTTTGAGGGTCAAAATGGTTGTGAATGAAAAGCAAAATGTAGCGACCACAGACTTTGAATCCCAGTGAAGGCAGTGGCTGGGACACTGATGACTTCAAATCTAACATTTAGTGTAGGGGCAGGGAAACTCCTGCAGTCCTCCCTCTTCACTTACATAAACACTGCAGCCCACCCTTCAGACAGCTCTATCACCCCCCAACTTGCTTTAAAATGTCAGGACAAAGCTCACACTGACTGCATTTCCCTTCTCCAGAGTTTCACTTTAGCGAGGTGAATTTTAGGTTTCTGGCATAATTGCAAAAAGAATGAAAAACATAACCACCACCTTCAGCTCTCTGAAACTCCAAAATTTTATTTACACACACACACACACACACACAAACATACATACACACACATATATGCATACACACACACACACACATATATATATATCTCATGTACACTGTCTCATGTAAACTCTGTAATAATCTTAGGTGAGAAATAATAAAGATATATCTATCTCTCTCTCTATATATATATACAGAGAGAGAGAGAGAGAGAGAGAGAGAGAGAGATGGATCGATCTTTGCATTCAAATGAATTTAGAAACAAAATTTGTATGTGAACTTCTATCTCTACCTACTAAGACTCACCTCCTACTATCCGGTGGGCTGATGTTCATCTACACTGCACACAGCTCCAGTGAAGCACAGTATATTATCTCAGAGCAACCTGCAAAACTCTACCCACTGGAGATGCCCTACAACAGGAATGATACCAGTTTGAATTCCTTTTCTAATGTGTACTGAAGTGTGTGGCCTGGCAAACTTCATTTCTCTAAACCGAATTTTCCTCCTAAAAATAGGATTAAAAAGTTTAGAGTAGCAGTTAATAGTTTGGGCTCCAACCTGAACTTCCTGGTTCTGCCACCTAATAGTTATTTAAACGTGGGAAAATTTAATCTCTCTCTACTTAACATTTCTAATCTATATAATGGCAATAACATGAGTTATCTATTTACTTCGTGGGCTTTTCTGGTAAATAGAGGAAATAATACGTGAGTAGTTCCTGAATTTTATATATATATATATATATATACACACACACACACATACACACACACACACACATATACATACATACATAATACATACACACTCCATACAGTGAGCACTCCGTAGTCTCCAGCTGTTACTTTTATTATTTCTCACCTAAGATTATTACAGAATTTACATGAGACAATGTGCATAACCCTTCAGCACAAGGTCTGCTACATAATGAATTGCTCTAAAATGTTATCATTACTATCTGTTATCTCCACCTTCCATTTTCAATTTAATCTTCTGGAGCCACAGAGATCAAATCTGCTCTCTCTTCACTCTGAATGACCCTCAGAAAGAAACTCACCACATCATTCTTCAGATTTCTCTTTTAAAGGACAAGCTACAGAAAGACTCTCCATGGCCTTTAAAAAGAGAAGGCATGGTTCACCAGATCCTCTGCCATCCTGATCAGCTTTATTTAGCTGGAGTTCTGGCCCTTGTAAAAAGCAGTACTTCCAAACACTAACTATGATCTAACCAATAAGAATTTAATGAAACTAACAATTCCCTTGGCCCAGATAGGTCCATGACCTGGGTACTATGTTTATTCATGTAATCTGAGGATACACTGGCATTTTTAACAACTGCATCTCACCACAAAAGAATAGTGAGCTTCTAAGAACTTAATTACCCACACATTTTTTTTAACTTACTGATAACGCAACTATTTTTAACCTAATTCCTGTTAACCTAACTCTCCATCTGATATTAAATTCACCTCTTTATACTCAAACCTTTGTCCCTCTTCCACTGTTTTAGGATGTACAATAGAGCTCTGGTATCTCTGCTGTGAGCAGACCTACCTGAAGTGTTATCATTTTCCACTGACTAATCACAATAAATGCGGCTCCTAAAAGATACTTAAAGGATTTCCTGTATTTCAGTAATGTTTCTCCTTCCCTCGTTGTAAAGCAGAGACCCAATTTCACCTTGATCATCAGGATCAACAGAAAGTAGTTAAGAATTCCTGTTATATTTTTCATCATAACACAGACAATATACGTATACAGAACAAAGTCAATGGTATAGTCTCATGCCATTTCACTTAAAATCTTCATCCAATTTAACAAGTGTTAGCAGTATACTCATGTAACAATGTGCTATACATTGATTTCTGAAGCTGGGTGATGAAAACATGTTTCTTTACATTATTTTTTTATGTGCATGTTTGAAAATTAACCCAATAAGAGATAAACAAAACATAAAGATGTAAATGTCTGAAGAAACAAAGAGTTAAGTGTTCTTTTAGGAAGTAGGACTGAGGTACAGGGAAGAACAGGACAATTGGGCTCAGGACAATTCTTTTTCTCTCTAAGCTTTATCACTTTTTGACTTTTTAAATATATACTTTCATAAAAATAAAATAAGATGGGCATAGTGGCGCATGTCTACAATCCCTACAACTAATAGAATTGAGGCAGAAGGATCCAAAGTTCCAAAGTTCAAAGCCAACCTCAGCAATTTACTGAGATCCAGTCTCAAAGCAAAACGTGTTGGGGATATAGTTGAGTGGTAGAACACTTGTCTAGCTTGTGCAAAGCCCTGGGCTTAATCCCTAGTACCGCAAAATAAAGAAACAGAAATTCAGATAAGTAAGTAAAAAGGGGAATAAAAAGAAGAGCAGCAAGTTAAAGTCAATTCCTCCAAATATCATGAACACCCAGGGTTCCTGATTTCATCAAAAGACATACATTGTTGGGTGAGGTAGCACATGCTTAGAATCACAGTTACTCAAGAGGCTGAGGCAGGAGGGTTACAAGTTTGAGGCTAGCCTCAGCAACTTAGCAAGACCCTAAGCAACTTAGACCCCATTTCAAAATAAAAAATAAAAATGACTGTGGATGTGGCTCAGTGTTAAGCACCTCTGGGTTTGATGCCTGGTACAAAAAAAAAAGACATACTGAAAATAAATCAGACTTCACTTTAGAAAAAAAAAATATGGCTAATAAAAAGTGTATCTATAAACAATAAGCCTACACTTTAAACTGACTTTAAGCCTACACAATTTTTTTTTTAAAGTTTCTAGAAAATAAATCTGGAAATTGCCCAAATTTCTCTGGTAATAAAAAAGGACCCTTGATCTTATAATTCAAATGCTTTCAATATAAAACATTATAAAACATATATTTTCACTAGAATTGCCTATGAAACCTACTTGGTAAGTGATTGAGCTTTCTGCTGTAAGAAACTATCCCTGTGTATTTTAATGGCTTGAAGACTTTTTCTGTCTAGAAGTTTGGCAGCTGCTGGTATTTTCTGGATCAGAAAATTATCAGGAAACCAAATAATATTAGCAGTTAATGTGATGGCTGGTACCTGAAACAGTGAAGACAAGGGAGAAAAAAATATTAAATGCAAGCTTAACAACACACTGTTTAGTAGTTCTACAATGTACGTGGAAAACAAATCATGAAAAAGTAACCACACAAAAAAATTCATTAATAGAGCCAGGTGCTAAGGCGCATGCCTGCAATCCCAGTGACTTGGGAAAATGAGGCAATAGGATCTCATGTTTGAGAACAGCTTTCACAATTTAGAGAGGCCCCCTACAACTTAGTGAGACCCTGTCTCAAAAATTTAAAAAGGAGCATAGTGGAGCACGCCTGTAATACCAGCAGCTCGAGAGGCTGAGACAGGAGGATCACAAGTTCAAAGCCAGCTTCAGCAATTAGCAAGGCCCTGAGTAACTCAGAAAGACTCTATCTCTAAATAAATTTTTTTAAAAATAAAAAGGCTGGGGACGGGGCTGGGGTTGTGGCTCAGTAGTAGAGCACATCCCTTGCATGTGTGGGGCCCTGGGTTTGATCCTCAGCACCACATAAAAATAAATAAATACATATATACATACATACATACATAAAAGTATTTAAAAAAAAAGGCTGGGGATGTGGCTCAGTGGTTAAGTGCTTATGGGTACAAAAACATAAATCCCCAGTACACAAAAATAAATAAATAAAATTTAAAAATAAAAAGGCATGGAGATACAACTCAGTGGTAAACATTCCTGGGTTCAATCCCCAGTAGCAAAAATCAAAACAGAACCAAAAAAACACATTAATATATTATAAAACAAATATTTTATTATGGCATAAAGTGAAAGCATTTCTATTTCTGGTGCTGAACATGTCAATTTTATTCTTCCTAAATATTAACACATACACAGGAACATACACACACCCAATTCCCCGCTGTTTTACAGATTTTACAATGAAAGTACAAATAAAAACTTGAATCCTTATGTCCTTACTTTCACTCTATTATTAGTGAAAAGAAATTTTTTTTCAAATGAGAGGGGGGAAAAAAAACTGATGGCTGGTTCTCATGTGGTCCTGTATAATTTGATGACATTACAAACAAACTAAATTTTCAATTCAGAAATCCCAGGGAAATATCAAAGAAGCAGAAAAAAATTAAATTTTTTATACATTAGCAGAAAAAAATACTTTAAATTTTTTCTACGTTAACAGTAAGACTGAGTGACAAAAAGAAGAGGAAAAAAACAGAAGAAAAATGCAGTATTAGCAGTAAAATATATAAGAAAAAAAAATCTAAACATCCACCTGTCTATATATATAGTCTTATGAAGTGGAATTACAGAATATTTCCATTTACTATGTTACTTATTTCTGGAACCCTTGGATTTTAAAACTGAACACTATCAAGATACTGGCCAAATTTTATTATTACACTGTGTGCATGTACAAATATGTAACAACATATCCCATAATTACATACATCTATAATGCACCAATAAGAAAATGTGGAAGAAAAAAACTCTGAATACTATCGAATTATTTTTGTAAATAAGAATAAAATATATTTTAAATATCTAGTTATATCCAAAATCTTTTCAATCTACTCAAAAAATAAGTTCCAAATTCATACCTTCTTACAAATATCCAACAAAGACTTATAAAACTTTTTATCAACAGTTCGAAAAATTTGAAAGTGCAGTACAAAGAGTCCACAAATTCCAACATACTTGTCTCTCTGGTCAATTTCAGAAGGTTCTCCTTATAAAATAATAACACAAGAGAAAAATACACTTAAATTATGCTTATAAGGCAATGCAAACTTTGCAAACAAAAACCCCAAAATGTGATCTATATTACCAAGTTTGGCTTCTACATTTGCAAAAATTGAGCGAATACTATGTGCAAATTCTTCAGCAAAAGTGCTATTCTTTGACACAGATACTCCACCGTTGAGAGAATCAAACTGTTGTTCTATACAAGCCTATACAGGAGATATTTAAAGAGAAATTGAGACTCTTAATCATAAAGAATCAAACATTTAAAATATATGATAAACACCTATAGTTATCATTTTAATATTATTAAAACTGAGACACAGATTCTTACTTTAGTACCTAAGTCCTCTTGACTGAAAAATATGTACTTATACATCTGACTACAGTTATGTGAAAGTAAGAAAACTAAACCACAAATACCTAATTCTGGATAAACAGATATCCAAAATGATGCTTAAGAGGTGTACAGAAGATATTTCTGATGACACACTGGGAAACATGTTTTTATTTTTACTTTGCACTCTCAAGGGTAGAACCTATATTTTTTTCTGTTTACATTTGCTTTCCTAGCACTTTATTATAGTATGTATGGAAATATCCCCTGGCAAAAGAATAAATATCAAAAATAGTTACCTTCTGAATCTAATGAACAGTTAAATTATAAAAACAAAAGCTGGGATTATTCTATTTAAATTGTGATCATGAGCAATATAAATTAAAAGTTACCCTGAAGCACATGTATAACAGAATATAATCCAATCTCTTGGGGACACTACCTAAGTCAGACCTCTCCAATAGAACTTCCTGTGATTATGGAAATGTTCTGATTATGTGCTATCTAATTAACAGTTTGCCATGAATTACATGTGACTATTAGGTAATGGTAACACTAAATGTAGCTATTATGACTAAGAAAGTGATTTTTAGGGCTAATGATATAGCTCATAGTAGAGTGATTCCTACCATATATGAAGGCCTTGGTTTGATCCCCAGCAGCAGAAAAAAAAAAATAGGAAGTAATTAATGTATGCTACTTAAATTAATCAGAATTTAAACATCCATAGAAGGTACTAAATGAACTGTGCATACTCAACATTATATTCCTTGAGCCTAGGATGAATTCATCAGACTTTTTTTTTAAATGGTTTTTTAGTTATACATGGACACAATATCTTTATTTTGTTTATTTATTTTTATGTGGTGCTGAGGATCGAACCCAGGGTCTCTCATGTGCGAGGTGAACACTCTACCACTGAGCCACAACCCCAGCCCCTCATCAGACGTTTTTAAGGTAGTTTTACAAACCTAAATCTAGAGGTATTTAACAACAAACAATATGTATTTAACAATAAAAAATATTTAACACAAACACTTAAATCTTAGTCCTTAATTTTCTCCTTTTACATAATTTAAAAGAAAACCCTCACCCCTAGTACAATCAATACACTTTTTTGTTTACTACTAGATACCAAAATAGTTATCAATTAATACACTAACAATGATTTTAAGTCAAAGCACTTTTTAAAGAAAAACAAACTCAACAGTATTCAAAAAATTCTTAGCTGGGTTAACTAATACAAGCTCATTGGTTATAGCCTGATACAGCTCTACTCACCTGAAATATCAGGCCATCAAGTAACTGCCCTTCTAGTTTTAACAAGAACTTTTCAAATGGCTTTAGTTTTTCTTCCTGAATTCCAAATTTGGAAGGGTTGTGATGTACAGACTTCAGTAACCTTGTAGAAAAGCAGGAAAAAGATCTTAAATCTACTTAATGAATTGTTAAAAACTCAAAACTTTTTCCTCATTCTTATTTGGTGCTATACATTTGAAAATTTGAGCAGAATAATCCTCATACATGAAATTTTCTTTTGCTTGTTTATATCATCTTAAATTCAGATGCCTGGAGCTCTGTATATACCAGATATTTAGTGAATATTTATACATTGAATAAAACATAAAATAAAGTTTTAGAGCATGTAATAAAATGAAGCCAATTCAGAGAAAAAAAAAACATCACTTGAATAGAGTCCAAGGAAAAAAATAAATCAGAGTCCTAAGGCAGGTAAATTAACATTTGACTCTTCTTAAGAATGAGGATGCTTGCTAGGCACAGTGGTGCACACTTTAAATCCCACTGGCTCAGGAGGCTAAGGCAGGAGAATTGCAAGTTCGAAGCCAGCCTCATCAACTTAGTGAGGACTTGAGCAACTGAGAAGACCCTGTCTCAAAATAAAAAATTTAAAAAAGGGCTGGGGATGTGACTCAGTGCTAAGTGCCCCTGGGTTCAATCCCTGATACAAAAACAAAATGAATGAATATGCTTTATATAGGTTTATCATGCCCTCAGACAAATCCATCTGAAATTAAGCAACAGTACTATCTTCATAAATGTAAGAGAATAAAGTTATTTTAATTGATGTACCTTTTGTACATAGTCCAGTGGTCTTTCAGTGTGATATGATTATCAATAATTTCATCCAGAGTGAGCAAAACTGTCAGCAGTTCTCCCAAGTGCTCATACATAGTCTGTCAAAAAACCTTTAATGATTATCATTTAGTCACTAGTTAGAAATTAAGCCTCATATAGATTTTTAAAGTAAAATATTTGGGCTAATTACTGAATTAGTTAAAGCAGGAGGGTAACATCAGTTTATTAAACTACAGGTTTGATCCTCAAATGAGACTATCAATCTTAAATAGAGAACACTTTGCCCAATATTTCTTCCTTAATTATGACATTTTGCAGATTTATTTCACTGATCAAAGAGACTATGAAGAATCTGTACTGGGCCACAACCAGGAAAACTAAAAATAACATTGATAGTCAGTAATGCCTCATCAACTACACAAGTGAAAAGAGAATATGAAAAAAAATCCTATAAGAATCTTGGTATGATTGTTACACTTCCTAATCACACATACTCCAAAGTAAAACACAGTAAAAATGAGCTTTACTGGTCAAGTTAAATTACCTGAAAATGAACTCCAGTTGTCTCTATAATTTTGGGGGCAATCCTATAATAAAATAACACCCAAGTTAAAAAAAAATTGCTTTTTTAAAAGAAACAGTTCATTCTTATTTTAAAGAATATACACATCAGCAGAAGCTCTTAGAATTTTAATATGCACTCATCTTAAGGCTTCAGTCATTAAAATTTAAGAGATCTAAGAAATTACTACCATGTTCCTCTCTCCTAAGAAGGGAACTGACCTATGCATTCAGACTGCTATCCCTGTGTACTCACAGGAAGGGACATGACAACATGTGGTCCATGAATAATCCTAACGATTTAAACCTAAAAGATATATCCTGGATAATGACAGAAATAACAAAACTAAAACTTATATCTTTCTAACTATTAGAATTCTTCAATTATCAGCTAGGCTCTTTGTATCCTACTCGAAGTGGTATTTTGGAACTAGGCCTCTCTTTGGTCAGATTGATTTCTTGTTCTTATTCCTACTGAAAAACATACTTCTAAGATTATACTAAAATCAAAAGCCACAGAAAAATTCATTTCACTTTCTTCCTAAACATCCAATTTACTCAACAATAAATAATTTACAATAGTATTTATATGTTAAAATACATATAGATATTTCAAAGAACACATTTTTAAAATAAAGAGAAAATTCAAATCAATTTCATCCTTTAGGGTCGAGGTGGGGCCGGGAGAGACGGGGAGCTATACTCTCACTCTCTCCTGATACAGGGATAACTTCACTGATAAGCCAGAACAAAAAAGTACCTGATAAGAAATGCATGAGAATGAGAGTAAAAACAGTCTACCCATTTATGAAGAGTTAAGGTACATTTAGAACAATGAATTAATGAATTAGAGTTAAGGTATATTTAGAACAATGAATCAACTGATGACCAAAGTAACAGTGCCAAAGTTGCCATGGAATCTTAATAAATAACTTCTATGGGCCTCATATATCTCTTCTTATCATTAAGAGTGCTAGTCAAGGGGCTGGGGATGTGGCTCAGTGGTAGAACGCTTGCCTAGCACATGTGAAGCACTAGGTTTGATCCTCAGCACCATATACAAATAGATACATAAAAGTATTGTGTCCATCTACAACTAAAAATAAAAAAATTTAAAAAGAGCCCTAGTCAAACATCTAAACAAAATTACTGTAAGGATATAATTAAATAGTAAATGTGAGAAAATGTTTAAGTATAAAGAATTAATCAAATGGTAGATATTATTGTGTGGTAGTAATAGCAAACGCTCTAGGAAAACTTGATCACGTTTCTTAATTTAGGATAGTGGTCCCTAAATTTGGAAGATTATAGGACTACAAAATTTTTTCAGGATAGATTCCTTAGCTCCACTCCTCAGGATCCCTGATTTTAAGAAAAAAAAAGTCTCATGAATCAGGAAACTACTAATGTAGATAAGAAAGGAGCAAAGAGAGAGTATAGTGCAAGAATAAATTCCACATTAGTTTTTTTCTATATGGTCAAATTTCTTCTAAGTTTTTTTTTTTTTTTTTCTGGTTGATATTCTCATTCAGACAAATAATGGGGTCATGCACTATGGTAGAAATTGTGTTTATTAATTTATGTAATGTACCCATCAAGTAGCACTTAAAACATCGTAAGCATTCAAAGAATGCTGAATAAATAAGTGAACAAAAAACTATTTCAGATGTTTAGTTTTTAAAAGACATTTCCTGTATCTCTAATATAAAAGCAAAAACATATCTAAAATCCATTACTTGTTACTGATATAGAGGGCGGCCAACTGATGGACTACATTCATCACCACTTCATAGCATCTCGTAACAAAACAAGACAGTTCCTGAAATGATAAGTTGAGTATGTGTTACAAAATTGCCTTTTAAATGTCATCTTTTTAAACTAATTTTTATGGTAAAGAATTTTTGAAAAATAATCACTTTCTAGTAAAATATCCAATTACCCATAAGTCAAATAACTTAAGCATTCCTCAAGCAATCAATTAACTCACTTCCTGCATCCCAGGCCATTCTTAGTTCTGTTCCCACTGCACTTCATTCATACTTCTATTTTAAGTCTAATTGTTCGAGCTATTCATATAGCATCTAAGTGGGATTCATTCCGTCTTTGAATATCTATTGCCTAGCATGGTAGCTAACACTGAATTATTGCTCAACATGAATGAAGGAGCTCAAAGGCTGCCAGTTTTGGAATATAGGAAGATGAGAGAAGGGGTCTAGAAATCACTTCAAATATTAAGTACCTTTATAATCTATAAGTGGGCTTGGCACGCAATAAGTGAAGTATCAATTACTCCAGGGTTGTGCTTGTCATTAAATAATAAATTCACATCTGTTGTATCTCTCAGACCTCGACTTTTAAACCTATAGAAACAGTGTATATCTAAAATATTTTACATCTGATTAAATTTAAAACTATTTTAAATTTTAAGCTCTATGAGGGCAGCAATTTTTGTTGGTTTTATGGTGTACTGTTGTATCCTCAGCACTAAGAGTAGGTGTACAGACATCATAAAGTGTATTTACACAAATCAATACAGCTATAACACCACTAAGCAATATAATCTTATGGGAATACTGTTGTAAATTCAGTCCACTGTTGACCGAAACAGTTACATGGCACATGACTGTATGTGCAATTATTTTAAAATGCATTTTTTTCTTAAAAAAAGCATGATGACACAAAATATTTGAAAGAATTGTAAAATGATAAATCAAGAAAATTCCAACTAGAACAGAGTTAAGGCAGCCATATTACTATCAAACAAAACAGATTTTATGAGCATTACTATAGCTAATTACTACACAGGTTGAACATCCTTTATCTGAAATGCTTGGAACCAGATTTGTGCTTTTGCTGGAATACCTGAGAATATTTGCATATACATAATGAGATATCCAGGGGATGGGAACCAAGTTCTAAATATGAAATTCATTTGATTCATATACCCCTTATACACATAGCCTGCAGGCAATTGGATACAGTATTTTTATTAATCTAGGTTATGATATTTTCTACTTGTGATTGTCACATCGGTGCTCAAATGGTTTCAGATTTTGGAGCTGAATGTTTTAGTATTTTTGGATAGGAGATTCTCAACCTGTATATGTAACATATATTTACACAAATATATATGTTTTTTAGTTGTTAATGGATCTTTATTTTATTTATTCATATGTGGTGCTGAGAATTGAACCCAGTGCCTCCCACATGCTAGGTAAGCGCTCTACCACTGAGCCACAACCCCAGCCCCCACAATTATATATTATATAATTATTATCATAGCTTAAGAGTCACCTCATAGCAATAAAAGATTAAATTTATCAGGAATCATTTAAAATTCTAAACTTGTATACACAGGATAAAATATCTGCAAATTAAGAAATACAAATTTGATAAAACTAAGGGGAGAAACTGACACATTTATTGAAACCCTATAAACTATATTTTTTAGACACTTTCCTATCCAGAAGACCTCCTGTTAGATTCTGCCAATAAGAGATTAGGAGGCAGGAAGAGGACATGCTTTCAATTTTTTGCTGTTTTTATTAAGATACCTATGTAAGAGCACCTCACCACAACTATGGAAGTTTGCACCAGTATCCAGTTTCTTTCAGCACTTCAAATATAACCTCAAACCACCCTCTCAAGGTACCAGCACAGGCAGGGCCACATCCTCAGGGATATGAACACCAATTCCACATGGTTATTTAAAGCTCCTAGATTCTGGAAAACCCAACTTTTTCCTTCCGTTCCCTTGATGTTGAGGTCATATCTACTTCCTTTGGATTACCTATTTTGTTCTTTCAGTCCTCTAATTCCTGTGTAACCAATTCTTTATATTAAATACCCTCTTTTAAAAATATTATTGTGTATAATTAGTTTTTTGTCAAATGCAGCTAAAATCTACTCATTTAAAACAATTCCATATAAAATTTTATTGCTTATTGCCCCCATGTGGTAAATTAAGATTTCTAGACTTCTTGCTATACTATTTGCCATTTTGTAACCTCTGATCTAGCTCTTTTGAAGGACCTTCTGTGATTTGTTTTCTAGATAAGACCTTGAATAACACATATCATCATCAACAAAGTGCTCTCAATTAGGTCAAGTAGACACCCCACAAAGAAATTATAAGGATTCGAACCATATATTTGCATGCACAATTTGATAAAACATATCAAGTCTTATATCCAACAATCAGAAGGGAGGTGGAACTATGGATATTTTTTCTCTAGTCCTGATTTTTGTTTTTGTCACTTTGTGCATTATTGAATGCTCTCCCACTGGGGCAGCAAGGGAATAGAGATTATTTCATGCTTTTGATTAAATCAAGCCAAAAGATATGGAATCACTAAAACTCTGTTCAGAGATACAAAGCATATCTAAATTGAAATATTCTATTAGAAGCATCAAGCACCGCTGCTTTTAACAATCTCATCAATGCTCATCCAACAGCTTAAGCTTCACCATTTACAACTTTCCCACATGTAATTTATCCTCTTCCACAGGTACAAAGTTGAAGTTACTTTAAAAAGCATGATAAATCATCCTTTAAAAAATTATGCAAAGAAACTGATTTTGATACCTTATTCCTCTAAGAGTGCTTGGAAATTTTTCAGGAGTCTATCTCTTAAACTACAATCCAATGCTTATTAAGTGTCTCACAGAGCACACATATCCTTAGCATGTAAAGTTTTCAGAACTTTCTAAATTGGGATTTATTCAAACTTTTAAAAGAAAAAGCTCATTAGAAAGCAAAAACCACTTACCTGTAAGAACGAAATAAATCTCCCCATTTGAATTTGGCAATCACCTTCCACCATGCTGGAATCTGTAGCTTTAAAGGGCAACATGAATAATTACATTTCAATTTTTTCGTCTGAATTCAACACCAAAACACACTTATTTTTTTAAGTAGGACATCTTCTAATCCACATAGTATTTGTTATATTTTTTCTTCATTTTTTTAATCTGCATAACATTAAAGAATTTTTACCGAAGAGAAAAATGCGACATTAGTCATACAATTAAAAGTAACCATCTGCTTCACTATTAAATGAATTCAAGAAAAATATGGTACTTTTGGGGGGTTAATTTGGTTTGGTATCTGGGATTAAACCAAAGGGTGCTACACCACAAGCTACATCCCCACTGCCTTTTCAATTTTGAGGCAGGGTCTTGCTAAGTGGCTGAGGTTGGCCCCAAACTTGTGATCCTCCTGTCTCAGCCTCTGATGGAGTAACAGGCATGCATTACCATGCTCTGTAACTTACGAAAATACCACAAATCAGTTTTAGAGAATTCTCTTGTTTAACCAACAAAAAACGGGAATGTTTTTTTTTTCTCACACTAATACATGACCATAATCATGTTCTGTCAACTTTCCGTTCATTTCAATCTCATTACCACAATACCATTTTGAAACTTTAAAACATACCTCCTTCTCCATAAAACAAGAGCCCATTGTAAAACTTAGTTTCAGCCTGTTTAAAAAATAATAAAATAATTTTAAACATTGTTTTCAAATTTCTAGGCGCTCTTATTTATACTTAACAACAGAGGACTACAACATCATTTACAACTTTTTTTTAATTTCAAAAGCTGCTTACAAGTAAATTCAATTTTTCTTAAGATTAACAAATATGTTACTGATACTCAAAGCTATATCCTGATTTCTTTAGCCTTGTCTCATCTGACCACCCTCATTGTCCCACACTGTTCCACTAGTTAATAGATAGCAACCACAGTGTCAAAGAGTGAGAGGGAAAAAAAGATGACACTTAAACCAACTTTTATCAGAGTGTAAATGGCTCTTGGGTAAGAAAACACAAAACCAAATAGGTACTAAGGATTCAAAGGGTTTTTTTAAGAAATCAGTTATATCTAGCTACCACTACATATGGCAGGTAACACCATCTTGGGAGGTATCCAGACCTGGATTCAAACTGTTAAGATGCAAGACATTAGACAAGTGACACCCTCTTTAAGTCTCAGTTTCTTCTATTCCTCACCTACCTCCCTGAGTTAGGGAGGATTAACCATATAAGCATGGTGTTTGGCACACAAGAAGTACGCAATGGTGTTATAACTATTAGTATCTTACTATTAGTATTATTAGCATTACTGTTATTTCAAATAATTCATTTAATATTCAATATTCATAGAACACCACACATATACAAGCACTTTTTTGCTCTAAATGATCTGGTTTTAAGTTTTAGATATAAAAATAATTACCTCATATTTTAATTTCTTGATTTCACAACAAAGTGCAGCATAAACAGTGATGACTTTGTTTAAGACCTAGTTTCATGAGAGAAAAGAAAATAGAAAAAGTAAATTTTAACAAATAACAAAAGCATTTTTTTAAATACATTTTTAGGTTTAGGACTTTGTACCTTGTTTTCAGTCTTTATCAGTTCCAAAAGGGAAGACTGTTCATAAGGCAAAAGCTATAGAAACAAAGAAAAAGAACATTTCTTTTTAATCTGGAAAAAAAAAATCACTGAAATTTTAAATACATGAATTGAGACTATCTATACTCTGTTTAAACTTGTGTTAGACCCTGTACTCAGCACTAAAACCCAACCAACTTGTTTGTTCAAAACAATCTCAACAGAGGAAGTAAGAAAAAATAATAAGCTCAAGAAGGAAAATAAACAAGCTCAAGAAGAAATGACCCAACATAACACCACTATGCTGAAAGACTGTAGTTGTGCTCTGGGACATAAGGTGGTTGATTATAAATGCAGTGCAATAAAATGCTAAGTAATGAGATAATACTAATCAATAAATTATATTAATTATGAACATAGGAAAGGACAACTATCATTTTGGAACTCATTATGCAGGCATACATTCAGTAAAATATGGTCTGAGATGTAGCTTAGTGGTAGAGCACTTGCCTAGCATGTGTGAGGCCCTGCGTTCAATCTCCAGTACCAAAGAGGGGAAAAAACAATTTATAATTTAGTAAGATGTTAATATGATAGCTAAAAGGGAGAAGTAAGTTATCATAAAGAACAGAACAAAGAGAAAATATCATCTTTTCTTGTATAAATCAAAGACCCAAAAACACTTAAAAATGCAGTCTTGGGTTCACTTATCTTCTAAGACCAGCTCACAATCTACCTCTTTCACAAAGCCTTCCTATAATCATCATCTACAAGTGATGACTTTTAAGTTTCAGATCTTTCTTTTGGTAATAATAATAACAATTTAGTATTTATGTAGGTAAATAACCTTATTATTATGTTGGAATTTGTTTTCAGAGATTTTGCCTGATTTTGTGATTCCCCGGAAGTACTACTACTCTTGTGGAGTTAGAAACATGAAACAATTGCCCAATAATGGAATTAAGAAGATTCCAAAGAAAGCAACAGGGAGCAGGAAGGTTTTGTATAATGATAAAATTTAAGAGATTAGAATGCTTCTGTGGGGGAACATAAAAGCTAAGAGATTATTTCACCCTTTTATAAAATCTGAGAGTTGAGAGAAACACCAAGGTTTATGATCACAACTATGAGGCTCTTAAAGCTCAAGAATAAGTCTTAAAAAAACAAGAAGTTTTACTGAAAAAAATACAGAAACTCATTACCTTCAGAGATAATACAGGTTGACAATGGCAATTTCCTAGTGAAATTCCTATAATTTATATACAATGATTCTGATAGATGTGTCAAAGAAAAAAAAAACAGATAGCAACAAATTTAGCTTAAAGATTTTTTAAAGGAAAACTATGCTTATCCAGTCAGCAAGACAGAAAAGTTTAGAGTAATTTCATTTTACAAATACATAAAGCATTAGTAAGGCAATTTAGAGTAGCAGATAAGGAATGTGCTCTGGAACTAAACTGCCTTTTATTGATTTGTCACTTAAATTCACTTTTTGAGTGTGTTGCTTAACTTTTCCATTCCTTTATTTTTCATTTGCAAACAGAGATGATACAGCATTGTTGTGGGATTTTAAAAGTCAATACCTGTCCTACAACACAAGAATAAAAAGTCCAATTTTAAAATGGGCTAGGGCCAGGTACAGAGGCGAGCACCTGAAGTCCCAGCTACTTAGATGGGAGGCAGAGATAGGAGAATCCCCTGAGCCCAAGAGTTTGAGGCCGGCATGGGCAACAATGCAAGACCCTGCCACCTCCTTCCACCCCTGAAAAAAAAAAAAAAAAAAAAAAGGAAGAGCAGAGGATCTGCACAGACATTTCTCTAAAGAGAATTTCTCCATTTGTATAAATGGCCAAGAGCACAGGAAAAGATGCTCAACATCATTAGCCATAGGAGAAATAGCCATATGAAATTCAAATCAAAACCACAATAAGATATCATTTCATACCCACTAGTATGGCTATAATAATTTTTTTAAGAACACAATATCAAGTGTTGACAATGATATGGAAAGAAACTGGAACCCTCATACATTGATGGTAGGAATGTAAAATGGTGTGGCCACATTGGGAAAAAGTCTTATAGATCCTTAGAAAATTAAACAGCATATGACCCAGCAATTCCACTGAGGCTTACACATTCAAGAGATATGAAAACATGTCTACAAAAAACTTGTACACGAATGCTCACAGCGGCATTATTTTAGAACTCTATTCCAAAAAGGAAAACCCCAACTATTTAGCAATTGATGAATGCATAAATACACTGTATTTGCATTTCATACAAAGGAATATTATTCAGCAATAAAAAGAAAGTATGACATGCTCATGAGCCTTATCTGGATGAGCCTTAAAAACATTACGGTAAGTAAAAGAAGTTGGACACAAAGGACTACATACTGTATGTCTCCAATTATGAAATGTTCAAAAGGGACAAATCCATAGAGAGATAAAGTAAACTGATTGGTGGTAGCCTAGAGTCAGTGGATATTGGTGTAGCACAATATGGGAGCAGGGGTGACTAAAAGGTGCAAGATTTTAGGGGTGATAAAAATGTTCTAAAACTGACAATGGTGATGGTTGCACAATTCTGTCAATAAACATAAAAAAAGATCACTCAATTGTACAATTTAAGGGGGTTAATTTTATGATATGCAAATTACATCTCAAGAAAGCTGTCATTAACAAAAAGGCAATGTGTGACTTAGGACACAGTATATAAGTGTTCAACAAATATTAATTATTATTTAAGTGGAAACAGACCAGTTTCAAAGACAAAACAAGAGAGTAATCTCAAAATGTAACAGAGTAAGAGTAACACACACATTAAACAATCACTCCCACATCAATATCTCCAATATAACACAAAGAAACTTTTTGAAAATATTCTATATCTTGATTGGGATACAAGTTATGGGCATACATGTTGGCAAAATTCACTGAACAGTATCCTTAAAAATCAGTACTTTTCAGTGTATGAAAATAACCTCCATAAGAACAAACAAGCCAAGCTTAAATAGTCTATCCAGCACTCTTATTATTTTTTTAGTGATGAAAAACAATGACCAAGTCAAAAAGCTGGAGCTTGTACCACTCTTTGACACTAACATCTTCAAGAATCATTCTTTCAAAAAACAAATTTTAAAAACACCTACCTAGCTTAGAGAAAAGAAAGTTAACAATTTTCTATAATTTCTTTTTACTCTTAAAGATTGAAAATAAAATATATTTTCTACTTTAAAATTGAAGTTTAATATATACTAGGTCCTGAAAATATATACTTAAGTAAAATAATCAAATCAAATCAAACCTTTAACGCTATAGGATCAAGATTGAAATCCCAAACATCTCCAATTGAATCATCCAGCGCGTCCTCGATTCTTCTCAATTGAGATGTATATTCCTCAAGAAATTTTCCATAATTCTTAAGTTGGACTTCAGCATGAATTTCTAAATTTAAATTTTAAAACAGTATGTTAGAGCCACAGGTAATGAATTACAGAACACATACTTCAAATAACCTCAGAAATCACAGCAAAGCATTGTTAATTATTACTTTGGAATGTCTGGACTTCTTGAAAATAAAGGTCCAAAGTTAAACAGTAATTCAGCCTTCAACTTTTTCCAAATGCATAAAACAATTTTAAAAGCAGTGACCCATTTACCCAGGACTTCTAACCAATCTGAATAATGCCTCTGACAACTCAATGTCTTGATTCTATGTTTTAGTGAGAAACAACTCTACTGAAAAATATAAATATTCACAACCTGGCCTGAAGCAGGTGCAAAAATCTACATTGAGCTGGGGATATGGCTCAGTGGTAGAGGGCTTGCCTAGAATGTGCAAGGACCTGGGCTCAATCCCCAGCACTACAAAAATAAACAAGCTGCTGGCTGGGCTGGTACAGCACACCTGCAAATCCAGCAAATCAGGAGGCTGAGGCAGAAGGATCACAAGTTCAAAGCCAATCTCAACAACTTAGCAAGACCTTGGTTTCAAAATAAAACATAGAAAGGACTGAATATGTGGCTCAAGAGTTAGGCACCCCTGGATTCAATCCCCAGTGCCAAAAAAAAAAAAAAAAATCTGTATTGTTAAAGAAGCAACATTTTTAGATGATAATTTAAGAATATTTTTCTCATAATGCCGAAAAATTTACCATGTTTTATAATTTGTTAAATTATTTAACTATAAAAACAAGTTGGAAAAGTAAAGTCAGAACAAAATACTGTGCTGATATTTACAGAATTAACACAATTCATGACTTTAAGCTTAAAGTCACTGGAATAAACTATATTTTAAAAATGCCAGTTCATCAAAATTAATGAAAGTAATTAATTCATCCTATACATAAGAATTATTTATTCACAAAGGCAGCAAATTCAAGTTTCTTTTATTGATGTGTATAACTATTCAATCTTTGTCTTCTAAAAAAAGAAAATTTTTCTTTTCAAATTAGCAATATGGGGCTGGGGTTGTAGCTCAGTGGTACAGTGCTTACTTAGAACATGTGAGGCACTGAGTTTGATCCTCAGCACTACATAAAAATAAATAAATAAAAGTATTATGTTCACCTACAACTAAAATTTTTAAAAAAACTTTTAACTTAGCAATCTGAAGCAACTCTAAGATAAAGTATATTCTGACTCATGCTGTATTAAAGATCTACCTTCCTATTTTTCCTTAGTGTTTGCAACTCATGATCTGAATCAGAAGAACCAATTTAGCTCAATAAACTTTCTATCTCATTACAGCATTAATCTACGTAGTTTTGGAAAACATTTAATCTAGGTATGATTCATAGTCCAAAAATCAATAAAAACCAGTCTTCCCTTTCCTACAGCTAACATAAAAACTACGTAAGTGTTCAGGACCCCAAATTGACATTTTATTCTGCTACATGGGAAAGGATCAAGCTTCATTTGACCAGCAAATGAATTCCCAAAGACAATACAAGAAAAACACACCAATAAATTGCTCCCTTAGTTTGAGAATTCACAAGGTAGAAGGGAACAGAAAACCCTAATAACATTGAGGTTCCTTGCCAATAATGAATAGTTGAAAAATTAGTAAAAGTTAAAGTACATGACTTGACGTAAGAATCACATGATTATTCAGAATTCTAAACACCTGTATAACAGTCATCTTTTACAATAGTTACCCTTCCTTGCCTTATCTTTGTACCCCTAACAGCAACTGGAGTGTAGAAAATGTCTGTTGAATGAATCAGATTATTCTACTTCAAGTTGGAATCATTTCAAAACCAAATAACGTATCTTCATTCATTATTTTTTAATAACCTTTATTTTATTTTTATGTGGTGCTGAGGATCAAACCCAGTGCTTCACGTGTGCCAGGCGAGCACTCGAGCACTCTATCACTGAGCCACAACCCCATCCCTTTATTTATTTATTTATTTATTTTTTAGTTGTAATTGGACACAATATCTTTATTTTATTTTTATGTTGTGCAGAGGATCGAACCCAGGGCCTTACATGTGCTAGGTGAGTGCTCTACTGCTGAGCCACAACCCCCAGCCTCATTATTGTTTTGAAGATACTAACATAGGAAACCTTTGCCCACAAAACACCATACATGACAACCCGCTTCTCACAATAAGCACCAAACACCTGCAAAAAAAATCATTCAAGATTTTTGTCAATAGCTCCAAGATTATTTTTGTTGCATAAGCGTTAATATATTAAAGAATGTTTTATGAAAAACTTCAAACAATGCTGGATGTAGTTTACCCATCTTTGAGAAATGAATAATCTTAAATTCATAGATGTTAAGTTTCTCTTTATAAAATCAGACAAAGTTCACCTAGAATTTTTAAAAACTGACTTTCTGATTTGGGGAAAACAGCATGTCCCAATATCTCTTATATAGATTAATATCAACAAAGATAAACAGACTGATGACTTGCAGTAATCTCAAGTAGTTTCATTAAGATAATTAGTTTGGACTCTATATTTTGCCAAAAGAAACTGTTAGGTTTTCCTTTTTTTGTTTGTCGAATTCTAAGTTTTAAAAAATCAGTCCATTCTATTTTATGAAGCAAAATTTGAAGCTCTGTTGTAATTTTTGAAAGCTTTTATAGCTGCGATGCAAGTCTGGCCATCCCAGGAAACACACGAGTTAACATAATGGGCCTGGAAGAGGGTAAAATGATATTCGGGTTATTTTCTACCGCGTGAACAGCTGTTTCCTCGCTATCTTCTACGGGAACCCAAACTTCCAAAAGTTGGTTTGAGAAAAAGAAGAAAAACAGGAAACCGAAACAGGAACCCAGACAGGAGCCTCTGCTTGAAGTGCACGCTCCGCGAACTCGACGAGGTCCCCGCGAGGCAGGCCGGGGGCCTCCTGGGCGCGCCCGCCCGCAGCCCCGGCCGCAGAGAGCCCACCGCGGTCGGCCCGCGCACGCAGAGCCCCGGCCGGCCGACCCGCCGTCTGCGGGCCCCGACCCGGGAAGGCACACCCGAGGGCGCGTCCCACTCGTACACCCCAGGGGTGGCCAGGGTCCGGGACCCGACGGCTGCGCGGCGCCCCGACGCAGAGCCCTCCCGCAGGAGCGCCGCCAGGGCTGCGGCCGGCTCGGGAGAGTCCGCCCGCGGCCCGCGCCCTGACACTCCCTTACTCTGTGAGCCGTCGTCAACGCGGTCAAACTCCCAGTCAGGGGACAGAGTCTCCACCGCCATCACCCCAGCGCCTCCCACAGACACAGCCCCAACCAGCCCGGGCAGCGACGCCGGCCTCGCCCCAGCAGCTGTCACGGCACGTGACTTCCGGCCTCGGCCCCGCCCCCGCGCGCAAGGGCCGGCCGGGCTCGCGGCCCCTGCGGCCGCGGGGGCCGCTGGGAAAGTGAGTCCTCCGCCAGGGACGGACGCGGTCGCCATGACGGCGGCGGCGACTGTTTCCGCGGGCTTCTTGGGTCCTTGCGTGGGCCTTGCCACCGCTCACTACTTTCCCATGCCACACAGGCTCCCGCAATTTCACCTTGCGGTCTCACGGCTATTTTTATTGCCGTGGGGGAGTTGCTCCTCAGTCCGGCCTTGAAAGGGCCGCATCGATGGCGTGGGGGCTCCACAGGAAGGCGTGGTCTTGGGGACGACGCTGTCCAGGCGCCTTTCCAAGAAGCGCAGATGTCCATCGTCTTTCCTGTCACCGGCAACGGAGGCCTTGCGCTCCCAGCTCCTCCAAGACCTCAGTGCGAGAGGAAGAATTAATGATTGCCCTAAAGGGCATGTTCCTGCTTACCAACTGCACTCCATGGCTCTCCTCCCGGCGCTTTTAGGAACGCGGAGGGGGCTTCTCCACGAATAAGGGATTGGTGTTACCCGCACATTCTACGTTTATCCAGATATTTGCCCATGAATGTACATTGCAGCGTGGTTTTTAATAGGAAACGATCTAAATGTCCCTCAGAATGGGATAGTAATAGAAAACAATATAGCCTTTATGAATTACTAAAGAGTTATTAAAAGAAGTAGATCTGTAATGGTAAGAAACACCAACAGCAGGCAGTTGCAAAATAATGCATATTTATGGTTGCATTTGTATTTTAAGTTATATAAACATGCGTATATTTTTGCAAATTCATGGGGAGAGATATCACACTAAAGAGGACAGCAACTCCGAAAAAGTATGTGTTGGTGAGTAGAAAGTTTTAAAGTTTTGTTGTGAATACTTAAGTTTCTACGAATCTTTAGCAAGGAGAATTTATTAAGGTTTTTTGGTGAGTTTTTTGTTTTGTTTGTTTTGTGTGTGTGTGTGTGTAACGTCAAGTACCAAAATAAGTAATCAATGTCCAGCGCTCTCCTCCCCACCCCCACCTTACTGGCGATTGAACTCAGGGGCACTCTATCACTGAGCTACATCCCCAGTCCTTTTTATTTTTTATTTTAAGACAAGGTCTTACCCAGGAGTTATCCAGGCTGGCCTCAGACTTACCATCTTCTGCCTCAGCTTCCCAAGTAGCTGGTGTTGCAGACATGCACCACAGTACCCAGGTAGAATTTCTCTTGAAAAGCTTTGTTCTAGATATTATTGTTTGGATATGGTTTGAATGCCATCCTCCAAGTTTTCATGTGTTGAAGTTTGATCCCCACTGTGAGGTATTAAGAAGGTGGAAATGGGGCTGGGGTTGTAGCTCAGTGGTTGAACGCTTGCCTCCAATGCGTGAGGAACTGGGTTCTATCCTCAGCACCACATAAAATATAAATAAATGAATACATAAAACAAAGATATTTTAAAAAAACTTAAAAAAAAGAATGTGGAAATGTGTGTGGCTGGGATTATAGCTCAGTGGTAGAGCCAGCAGGAGGTCTCCAACACCATGGAAATGTCAAGGTGGAAATTTATGCAATAATAGTATTGAGAGGTAGAGCCTTTGTGAGTTGATTTAGATATAAGGTTATTAGATATTATTGTTTGGATATGGTTTGAATGCTATCCTCCAAGTTTTCATGTGTTGAAGTTTGATCCCCATTGTGAGGTATTAAGAAGGTGGAAATGGGGCCGGGGTTGTAGCTCAGAGGGAGAGAATTTGGGAGAAATGAACATACCTGTCCCTTAATCTCTTTCTATGTGATAACCCTGAACCACCTTGGGATTCTGTCAGCAAGCAGACCATTACCACATGCACACTTAGGCCAAAATTCTGACCCAAAATAAACCTCTTTGTTAAAAAAATACAGCCCCAGGTATTTTGTTGCAGTAATGAAAAACAAATACAGAGACCACAGATTTGCAGTGGATCAAATATTTACCGAGTGCCAACTCTACTTAATCATAAAAATAATAAAACAGACAAAAATGATTGACCCATGCTCCTTTGGTTCTTGCTTGTGGTATTAGTGCTTAGTGGGCATTTTATTTATTTTTGACCTTCACTTTTTTTTTTTTTTTTTGGATACAGGGAACTCACTGTGTTGCCAAAGCTCATCTTGAACTAGTGGACTCAACTGATGTCCCACCTCAGCCCCCTCAGTAGCTGAGATTACAGGCATGCATCACCATGCCTAGCTTCTGGCACACTTTTTTCACATTACTCTCTGAGTGATCTTGAAATCTGCTTTGCCGTGTTCTTCACATTTACTTTAATCACACATAATTAATCTCCCAATAGTTCATTATGATAAACTGAAGTTACAAGTAAGAGCAATTTGAATCTGCAAATACACTAATTTATTAATAAGTTTGCGTTGAAAGGGAGTATCAAGTAATGATTATGGAGAGAAGGCAAAGCCCCGCCCTGAGTTGCTCCATTTGTATGGAACAGCAGTGCCTAGCCCTGACTTATTCCATTTTATAAAGCAGTTTGACCAGAGCTACTCCATTTTGAATTAAAATGCTAAAGCAGAATGACTCGAAAACTTGTCTGAGCAAACAGATAACCTCCAGATGGTAGACATACAGAATTCATCAAGAAGAATAACCTCCAGCAATACAGCATGATCATAAGGCACAAACTGAAAATTGAATAATGAATAATGACCACTTGTGAACTTACCAAATTAAATCAGAAACTTATGGATGCATGGACATCAAACCCATATCAGAGAAACAAGGCGCCTGAGTTTATCAATCTCACCAGAAGTAATCCTCTCACCTGAAATACATAAAAGGAGGAGCACCCCAAAACGGTAATGGGTGGTGTTGCAACCCATCCGGTGAACTGCTCAGGAGGTCCACAGGTAACAAACTCCCAACTCTCTTCCTAGGACTTCAGCTCAGCAGGTCCTCACCCTCCCCCACTTCACAACTGCCTGCCCTCTGGACCTTGGCTTAGAATAAGTTCAGCACCCTGATAGCCTTGACCCCTGAGCAAGTTCTTCAGCTGGTTCCTGATCTGACCACTTGCAGTAAGTCTTCTGTAGTTATATTGCTCCCTGCCATAGGGCCTCTTGAAACCCTGTGTCCACCCTTAACCTTCCTTAGCCTTCTGTAACCTATATAGCATTGTGTTAAGTATGATGTGTGATTTGAGTGTTATAAACATTAGTAATTAAGACTGAAATGGAATGGAAGAAATTATGATTGCCTGGGTCATAACACCAAGTGAACCATGAGTAACTTCAGGAATTTGAAGCTGATGAAATTGATGTAGCTTGTAAATTTATTATTACTCAATAAATCCTGACAATGTGGAAAGACACAAATGTGTCCAGTCTATGTTAATGGCATAGCTTGTTCAGGACAATAGTTAAAAGCACAATTTTTATTATATTTTTTATTTGTTCTAATTAGTTATACATAGCAGTAGGATATACTTTGACACATCATATATAAACGGAGTATAATTTCTCATTTTTCTGGTTGTACGTGATGTGGAATCACACTGGTCATGTAGTCATATGTGTACTTAGGGTAATTATGACTGATTAATTCTACTATTCTTCCTACCCTCATACCCCCTCCCCTCCCTTCACTCCCCTCTACCTAATCTAAAGTAACTCTATTCTTCCTTGCCCATCCCCCTTATTTTGAAGTAGCATCCACATATCAGAGAAAACATTTGGCCTTTAGTTTTGGGGGGGATTGGCTTATTTCACTTAGCATGATATTCCAGTAACCATATTGCTTAGGTCTAAATCTAAACACAGCCTCTTGGTAGCCATGTGATATCAGACCAAGCAATTTAACCTCTGCCTCAATTTTCTCATCTTTAAAATGAGAAAAAATATAGAAAATACCTCATAGGATTGTTTTGGGAACTAAATTAATTTTTACATACAAGGCACATAGAACAATAACAACCACAAATTGTAGAGTATTTGCTATTATGAACCAATATGGCCTTATTTCTTAAAAACTTAAGGATTGCCTGTCTTGAAATTAAATATCTTTAAACCAAATTCCAGAGCCTAGAATTTCAAATTTGTTAGAAAAATGCAAGTTAGATATTAAATTAAAAAGTACATTCACTAACTGAAAAATGCTATCTGAAAGTTTTGATTAACTATTTCTTAGACCTAGTCTACAGAAGATGAAAAATCATTTTGAGAAATTAAGTATCTTTCTTTATACTACTCTTCATTCACACTGTATTTTCTGCAAGGCGAGTTTGCAGATAGAAGGGGAAACATTTTACAAGGACAGTATTGTGCTGATTTGAGAGCTTCTGAGAACTTTAGAACAGCTGCCCACAGAAGGTGCCTGCTGCCAGCTCCCAGGAATTCTGCCTTTAACCTACAGGTGTTTATACCCGCACACTAAGTACCAGCTCACTCCATACCAAATTATTTTTACATATTATATAAATAAGGTCTTGGTGAAGTTGTTTTTAATATACATTATTTTTCCTACAGTGTAAAATATCTGTGGTTATAACTTCCAGAAGACATCTCACCTACTGATTTGTCACAGAGTCCTGTGTATACCTGTCAAAAAGATTCCTAATATGTTCATGTATTTTTTCAGCAAATAATCTTTCACTTGGACAGTAACGTAACCTATGATGGACCTTCTCTCTCTATTGCCCATAGAAAAAGGGCTGAGGATGTGGCTCAATTTATTGAGCCCCTGAGGTTCTATTAAAAAAAAAAAAAAAATACTACCAGATCTAGTCACATCCCACTTCGGCTCTTTTCCTGGATTCCCACTGCCTCTGCATGGAGTTTTCACTTCACAGCATGCAGTCCAAGGTTTCCTCCAGTCTGGCCTTTGATTTAAGGGACCCAAGGATCCCTGTACTGGTTGTGTCATCAATGATTGTGGGATCTTATAGATTACCATTATATGTGATTCTCTGAATTCCAGAT